GGGGGAGGGGGAGGGGCATGAAGAGGAGATGGAGGGGTAGAAGGGAAAGATGTATTTCGAAGGATCAAAATATTCCATAATTAACTCTTTGAAAATTCTAATAAAATACAAACCTCTTTGCTCCACTTCAGGTTATGAAAGAGTAGTTTACACCAGAACATTTGTTTACTACTTGGGAAAAGAAATTAAATGAAAACGTGTGCTCCATGTATTAGCGAACAGGCCAGAGCTGGGTAGATCTGTTTCTTAGCTGAAATGTTCTCTGAGAGCCTCACCCAAATTCAGATTTCAATCTCTGTTACAATCTTAAGGACAGAAAATTAACCCCCCAAAAATAATAAAGGAAACACTACAGATATGTAAAGACAGGATCAGAACTAATTTTTTTTTAATTTTTAAACAGAAGAGAGGGAAAAAAATGACAGAAAAACATACAGAGTACTACAAATGATCACAACTGTCAACAATTAGTTCTTGAAAAATATTAGTAAAATATACACGACCTTTTCTCTTCCACGTCTGGTTATGACATAGTCCTTTATATCAGAACAGCTTAGTAGAGTTCACTTCAAGTTCTACTTCACTTAGTAGAGTTCACTTAGTAGTTCACTTGATTATTAATATATCAAAAAAATCCCAAAAACTGCAAAGCCAGAGCAACCAGGATTTGAAGTGCAAAGATGACAAAAAGAATTATAAGCACTGAAGTAAGTTCAACGTTCTCCACCACTCTCCTCCTTGACGAGTTTGCAGATTCCTAGACTCCTGGGTGCAAAGCTCAGAAACCAGGCTGACTGGAAGGAAGTTAAGATGCCAGAGGCTCAGCAGAAAGGTCAGCAGCCACGCCCAGCTGCCTCGACCTGAAGACAGCTGCTCCTGTGGGTCCGCAGGCTGAATGAGACCACTGTGGGCTGCAAACACACACTCATAAAACGTTCTTTAAAAAGATAAACAATAAACCCTTTCTCTTACAAGTTACTAAAAAAGACCACTAAGGAGGAGGGAGGGGTGGACACTGACAGACACTGCAGGATCGCATTTGCAAAAGAAACCAATACCCTATGATTAAGAACATAGGGAATAAAACAGCCTCAAAAAATGAAAATTCATCCTGGAATTATTTTGATCTATGACAGAATCAACATAACCTTCCCCTAATCTAATTGTCTGATGGAAGGTCACTAAGTCATTTCTAGAAGGTGATAACATAATTTATAATTCCTACCATTTTCATAAACTATATTTACTGGGTTAAAAATACTAGTCATACCAAAAGATTGGACTGAATGTCAGAAACACTAAAACAAGATCATGGAAATGAAGGTGATCAGGGCAGCAGAGTCATTAGTCATAAACTTACCCATCATCATGGCTATCTGTCGGGAGGAGGACACCTTAGATGCTATTATCTGAGAATTAATTCTGATGGAATTATAAAACTGGAAACTATGCTAACTGAAATTAAGCATAGGCAAGAAATGGGGTCAACAGCATTAAGCATCAGAAGAGAGAGGGGAAGGACAAGAATAGGTACAAAAGAGAAGTGGACACCATCAAAGCACGTTATATGCGTGCATGAAAATGCCACTGTGAAGTCTAACATTCTGTATTATTAGTGTGCACTAATAAATTCATAACTAAATGTGTGTGTGTGTGTGTGGAAAACAGAATCAGTATAAACTACTGAGACTGAAGCCTGAAGAAGCTTCCTGTAACGGGAAGTGCATGGCGCAGAAATGTAGAATATAACCTCTGTGTATATCTGGAGATCCAGGAAAGAGAAAAGCCAAAATAGTGCCATAGCAATTATTTGAAGGGGTGACGCTAATAATTTTTCTATCCAGGGAAAAATACAAGGGGCAGATACTGAGGTTTATGAATCACAAGTAGGAAAAAATTACTAAGGGAACAACTACCTATGAATGAAAAACAGTTAAATTGATCAGAAAAAAAGAGATAAATCTTTTAAAAACCACATCTGGGGGATGAGTGGTTGCATCAAAACCAAAGGGCCAAAGTAAACTGTCGCGGTTTCTTCTCAGTTCCAGGCCCGATGGAGACCCGAGCAGGTGCGATGACATCTGTAAAGTTCAGGCGCAAAATGATGCCAACATGGACTTCTATGCCTGGCAAACCTCCTACAAAGAACAAAATGAAAACAAAAATCCAAACTGTTATGGCTTAGACATAAAATGTCCCCCCAAAATCTGAAGTGTTCACAAGCAGGGCTTGTCATTAATTCCATCTGTCGTTAATTCATTGAGTTCAAAGGGGTGGGTTGTGGGGATGGAGCCTTGGGACTGTACCTGCTCCTTGGCCCCTTCCTCTCTGGCTCTCCCTCCTATCCTCCTTCTCCTCCTCCTCCTCCACCCTCCACCTTCCAGAAACACTAAGCTAAAACATGTTCTTAAATATTCCAGAAGACAAGAGATACTTTAATTCTATTTCACACCCTTTCCTACTTCTGCACCACTTTAAATCCCTACAAAATGACTTTTTTCAAGTTAAATTATTTGGTTTTTGTTTTTTTTGTTTGCTTCTTGTTTGGTTGGTTTGGGGGTTTTGTTTGTTTGTTTTTTGATTTTGGGGGGTGTTTTGGTTTGGGTTTGGGTTTGGGTTTTGGTACTGGGGATCAAACTTGGGTCATTGAGCTTGCAAAGCAGGCGGCAGAAGGAAGTTAAATTTAAAGATGATGAAAGGGCTAAAGGTGTAGGGAAAGTGGGAAGGGTAGGGGAAAGGCAATAAGGGAAAAGAAAAAATAAGAGAAAATGAAAAAAATGGAAATAAAGATTTGCAAATGAGGAGGGGAGGCAGGGTGAAAGGAGGGCAGGGACAAGGGAAAAAAATGAGAACCAAGACCTGTCATGTAGAGATACAAGATCCCAATAATGAATGTAACTGTACTGTATAATGAAAATATACCAATAAACTCAATGAGAAATTAAAAGTTTAAAGATGATGAAAGGATAAAGGTAACAAAGATTAAATAATTGGTAAAATATAAAATAAATTAATATAAAAATAAAGCCAAAAAAGTCAATTCTTGAAAAGACTAAGAAATACATAAATTACCTCTAACAATTATTCAAGAAAAAAGAGGGCCAGGGGTTTAGCTCAGTGGTTCTGTCATCTGCCTTGCAAGTGCAAGATCCCAAGTTCAATCCTCAATGCCAAAAAAAATAAATAAAATTTTAAAAAGACCACAGACACATACACAAATCAAAAAACAAACAAAACAAACAGGGCCGGAGATTTAGCTCAGTGTTTCTGCCACCTGCCTCACAAGTGCAAGGACCCATGTTCAATCCCTGGTACCAAAAATAAATAAATAAAAAGACTTGTTGAGGTAGGTGAGACTCACAGAGCCTTTGTGAATTTTGTGAAACCCACCTATCAAAACCAAACCAAAGCCACCTGCTGTGATGAACACAGAAGAAAGCACAATAACTGGTTAGTCTGATCTCTAGCAAAAATTCATAATTTAAAACTTTCCTCAGCCAGGGATTTAGTGATTCAGTGGTACCTCACCTGCCTTACAAGTGCAAGGTCCTGAATTCAATCCCCAGTAAGAGAAAAAAAGAAGAAAACTTTCCCTCAAAAGAGGAAAGCAACCCTGAGGCAGATTACTTATTCTGAACATTTACGAAAGAAATAAAAGCAAGCTTATAGAGTAACATCCAGAAAACAGAAGAAAGAACACTTGCTAGCTCACAGGCATTTGTGAGACAGTCACAACCATGACACTAACTTACCGAGATATTAAAGATAAGGAATTTAACAGGCAATTCTGTCTTGTGAACTTTGTGTAGAACGCAAAAACAGAATGCCAGAAAATACAACCCAGCAGTGTATATTCGGATGGATCTCAGCCAAGTCCACTGATATCAAAAGCGCACAGCTGACTTCACATGTAAAATTCAGTCCGCAACAGACCTAAGTGGGAAACTAAACTGTGAAGCTTCTGGAGAGGGGAGGGACTTAGGGGAATATTTCCACACCTTTGGAGGTGAACTAAGCCATCTTAGAACACACAAGGGTCTAAGCATAAAAGTGAAAAAAAAAATGAACAAACTAGTTCTACATAAGAAAAAGAGAAAATCAAACCAAAACCTCATCAAGAAAATCATGAAGAACATGGAAAATAAGGCACAGAATAGGAAGCCTTTTCCCAATGCATATATCTGGCCAAGAAGCCATATTCATTCTATATTAAACATTCTTGAAAATCAGTAATAAGCAGGCAGAAAAATTTTAAAAAGAGTTGCCTGAGCGCTTCATAGAGGCAGGCTGACAAATGGCTAGGGGACACGTAAAAACACATCACATTCCAGTCGTCAGAGAACGGCAAGTTTGAATCACTATAACCCAGCAGTTATCCCAATGACGAGCACCGGCGATAACTGCTGGTGAGAACGTGGAGCAACTGGAACTCTCACGTGGTTTCGGGAGATCAACCATCTCGACAAACTACCTGGGCGAATTTGAACAATGTTAAGCATATACCTACTTCGGGCCTCACAGCAGACATTGATGAAATTATTTCCTGTGAATAATTTAGGAGTCGTATTATTTCCTAAGAATTTCTTATATCCTCTGTCCTACGCTGTATCACAGCAGCTGGAATGTCCGGATGCTCACATCCGTCTGCATTGGTCTGGCTCCAGAGCACTGCAGTCGTTGTGAGATGGGGTCTCTCTGTGGCCTATTTAACCCTAACTTATTCTGGTCAGAAAAACCACAGCTGTGCTGATCCGTGGCACCTCACCTTTTTCTCTTCTGTCACAGGGAATCCTGATGATGCTGCTGACCTTCAGCATGATTGAATTGTTCATCTCTCTGTCCTTCTCCATTGTGGGATATCACTTAGACAGTTGTTAGGAATGGAAATAAAGATGTGGTGTGATGTTACCTCTAGGAGAACTCTGTGTGTGAGGAAACCCAGGAGGAAGCCGGAATCTGGAGGCACAGAAGAGTGATTCAAAGGGGCTGGGGCTGGGCACATCCACCCCCCAGCGGTATCACCATCCTCTCTCCCCAGAGAGAATGACCACTGGATGTCACCGCCTCTGCTAGCCACACAGCCTCTTGACTGCAGCACAGCACTGTGAGGCCACCTCTGTACACGGACGTGAGCCAGAGCCAGGACCAGGGCCCCACTGCTCCCTGATTCCTCACCAGCTCCTGCTGCTCTCTCCATGGGTGAGAACCCACGTTGGGTGGGAGAATGGTTCAGCCCAGGGTCTGAGGGCAGAGCTGGTTCATTCCCCAGCACCACACACACCTATGCGCATGCACGTGAGAAAGGAAGAATGGTTTTGCCCGCAAACTTAACTTTACATGAGCGTGTCCACTAGAACAGTAACAATAGCAAAGCTGGGAGTGAATATTGGTGGAGCTGCTACTGTGTCCCAAGCACCGTGCTAAATGCTATGCCCATCACCCCTTCCTCTCACATCAACTCTAGCAGGTGGATTATTTACTATGCCCAAAACACGGAAACTACGGCACAAAAATAGACAAGTGATTTGCTCAGGGTCATGAGCTGGCTGTGTAAGCAGGCATCGCCTGGCTCTGGAGACCTGGTCTCCATCCTTGTGCCAGTCCCTGCCTCTCGAGCTTTCTGAGTTCAAATCTCCTCACGGCCTTCAAAACTACCGAGTTGTCACTGCACATTAACATGAGTAATATTTTCCCTAAAATAGCTATGTTTTCCAAAATAAACACAGAGAAAGGCAGTGATTTCTGTGCTCACTCATTTCTGGAGAACAACAGTTCCTGACTTGACTGCCGCCTGAGGAACTTTCACAGCCCCAGCCACCACATGCAAACACCCACAACAGTCAGGTTCGCACAGGGGGCAGGCAGCGGTGCTGGTTAAAGATGTACAGAGGCTTCCAGTGCAGGGCAAAGCTTTAACACAGTGGGAAGCAACTGTACTCTCTCAGTGGCTTTGCGTGTGACCTGTGGTATCTCATATCCTATATCCCGACAGATGTAATCTTTTGAAAGGGGAGAATAAGTTGTTATTGTTAAGAAGATAATTTGGGCTGATGAACTCCTAAAAGGGGGTCCAGAACCCCGGGAGATTCCCAGACCATTGGGAATTAATAATATTAATATATTAACATTAATATATTGCCTCTACGGGTACAAAATTGAAGCTCCAAGTAGCTAACTTTTCTGAAACCATGAAAGAAGTGTAATTTAGAACCAGGGTGTAATCAAGACCCTTAATTCCCACTCCCACATGTAGAAAAACAAAAACTTAGCACACAGAAAGGAACAAACTAACAGGCCTCTATTTCTGCTGGACGGAGCTTGTGACTGCAGGGACACAAGACTTGGGAAGAGGTGAAGGTCGGGAGCAAAGCTGCTGGTGTTTACTTTCCCACGGAGTGGGGCTCTGCTGAAAAATGTCTGACACCCCCGCGATGCTCAGACGTGGAAGGTCTGAGATGTATTCAAGACAGACATCCTGACAGCGTGCACTGGCCGTGGCTTGGGCCACACCGAGGTTAAAATGTCATTTCCCCACGTTGAGCTGTGGGGCTTGAACGGACCGCTCAAACTCTGTGAGCTTAAATTCCTAGACTAAAATGCAATAAGATCTTTTCTCTACTCAACTGACGTGCACCTGAAAAGAAACGGGTGAAGCGGTTTCATCAGCACCAGCAACTTGAAGCCCACTTAGTAGCTTTTTAAATCTTATAATTGAGATTATCTTGCTTTATAAATGTCACATGTTATTGCTTACTAGCTGTGTGAATTGGGAGGAGATCCCTTACTTCCTGAACTTTAGTTTCTGCTATTATAAAGCAGAATCAATCGGTACTGTATATGTCGGAGTGCTTTTAATGTGAACCGTGCTAGGCACTCAAGTAAAAAGCCAGTCGAGGCTGCTTTCCTGCTAAAGATGTAAAGCAGTTCCTCAGAACAGAGCTGTGAGACTGTCAGCTACCTGAGAGTGCACTTTCCTTAGGACGAATCACTTACGAGAACATGGTGATTTTTTTACCTGTAACCAAATTGTAGATTTATTCGATATTCAGCCTCTCCCTAGGCGTCTGCATCTCCTTCACCAAAGCCCTCCAACAGCAGAGACACTGTGAGGGTGCAGAGAGCAGAGCTCCAGCCTCTGAGGGTTACAGGGGGCAAGGGCTGAGTGTGGAGGACACAGCTACAAATGCGGCAGAACACAGACTTCCTGAGGGAGGAAAAGGCTAGAGGGTAGGTACCCAGAGGGCTGCGAGATCTGGGGAGTGCACGAAAGACAAGTTTGCATCAGGCAAACATTGCGTGAATATTAGTGTACTTTCATGTAGATTTCAAGAGATTTTCTTGGGGAAAGAGAAGACCACTAGATAATAAAAGACTAAATCAAAGGAAAAACTTCACAAGTATAGACTCAAGAAAATGTACTCAAACTTTAAACAGAAGAGAAGGTTATGGATCGAAGGCGCTAGCGACAAACCGTAACTGTGGGGGAAATTTCGAACCCTCATGCTGAAAGACAGTCCAAATCGGCAAAGACGGAGTAAAAGTTCAAAGTCCACTTGGGAGGAATCACGTGGCGACCCTTCTAAATTATCTCACTGGACACACAGACTGTAATAACAAAACCCACGACTGGGAGACAAGGACATAAGCAGAGAAAAGGAGGCCAAGGACCGGGTTGATGAGTCCGCTCCAGCCCTCTGAAGCCACACGCTGCCAGGACCAGACCGGCTCCCACACCCACGGCGGGAAGGCCCACATCCCTGACCTGGCGCCCTGACCCCGAGCCCTGCCGCTCAGTCGCCCGAAACTCACACCGGAGCACTCTGGTCTGGATGTGTTCCCCGCAGCCATGTGTCAGCAGAGTGGCCCCCAGGGCAGGGGTGCTGAGAGGCTGGGTCCCAGGACTCCAGCATCGGAGTGGAGAGACGCAGTCACCGTGGAGGAGGGCTGGCTACCGCAGGCGCAGGGCCTGGTACGGGTGTCGGCCCCTTTCTCCCTCTCACATGCGCCTGTTTCTCTCGCGCCGTCTTCCACCATGGAATTCCACAGCATGAAGGCCCCCGCCACGTGTGGGAGCCTTGGCTTGGGACTTCCCAGCCTCCTGAGCTGTAAGAAATAGATCCGCATTCTTCATCAACTCCGCAGGCTCAGTTATAATAGCTCAAAACAGACGGAGACGTTGTGTCACGATCGCCCCAGCCACCTCCCACTCGAGCACTTCAGCAGAGCACAGGGACCCACAGTTGGGCGTCAACAGCCCAGGCCCCTCTTCCCTGGAGTTTCTGAGCGCTGATAAGTGGCGTTTACTTGAGCTTTCTGGATGTTCCAAGAGTAGCCTGTTCTCCTGATGAACTGCTCCAATGACGGAAAGAATTTTTTTATATTGCACCAAAATCAACCTCCCTGACAGCTCTTCTCTTCACTGTTCTAACCCTGTAGTTTCAAACCGTCATAAAGACAAGCGAGGCAGAGGAAGAAAAGAGAGAAGAAAGAAATAGATGGGTTACCCTAAAATAATGGAGCTGCCATATCTCAACTCTTCTGTTTAAAGAAACAAATAATGATATAACTACGGGTCCGTCCTCTAATGAAGCAAAGCAAAGAACAAGGGAATTAAAAGTACTACCTTTGAACATAAAGGTTGTGATGGAGGTGGACGTAATAACATCTTTAGGCAAATCTTCCACTTATTCACCCCTAATGTTCAGACTCTCCTGACACCACAACTTTGTCCAATGGATGTAGCACTAGGCTTCATGGTCAGGCGGCTCTGATCCATGCAGGGGAGAGGACACTGAGAACTCAGGTGTGGCTGAGAAGGATAAGGTGGGTCCATGGGTCAAAGTGCTACTTCAATTTGTGGACCCCAATATGACAGCTGAATCTTGCTTCAAGCTTCTGGTTCACGTTCTGTGACACCGAGTTACATTGTAGGCCACTGAGTGAGCAGAGGAGGACAGTGTTTGGAAACCCTAAGTCCAGCCCTCCTAGTACAGTGCTCAGTGATTCCTGCATCTCTGCACGGATGCTTCCTCCCCACCCACTCACCCCTACAGTGAAGCGAAAAGGCAGGTCTCACCAGCCCATCTCTGGAGAATTTCTAGGCCCTGCTTGCCCTAGGGGGCCCACCATCCACACCTGCTGACAGGGTGGGGGCTGCAGAAGTTCTTCTAATTAAGGTAGCATGTAGCACCCCATGCAGTCCCCTGGGGTGTTTTTTAAGAAGTGAAACCTCCTGGTAGGGCAAAAAGGTTTTTTGTGCCTACTTTGGCTTCTGTCAAACCGAGGTAACTGGAGCAGAGCACAAGGTATCAGAAGCTACTGACTTCCTGTCACCTGGGGTCCATCTGAGACCCAGGCCCGGTCTGCCCATTCCCCATCCAGGACTGGAGAATCAGACACGCAGAACTGAGCTCAGCACAAACACCTAACCAGCCCTTGAGCCTCGCAGCCTCAGAGACCCAGGTAAGGAATCTGGGGGCTGGAGGAGACCATGGGTTGGAGCAAGTGGCTTCGGAGGCAGCGCTTTACTCTGGGCTCCCCATCAGGCTTTCCAATAGGGTCACGGTCCGAGCAGAGCCCTTTCAAGGCTCACTACCCACCCACTGCCTTAACCTCTTGTCCTCTCAGACTTACCCTGGAGGGCAACTGTGAGCCCCTCCACCGCAAAGTGGAGCCCAGCAGTTTGCAGATTAAAGCGTGCTTTTCAATGGGGGGTGTCCAGCAGGAGCTCCCCCACGTACAAGCCATACAGCCACCTTGGTCCTCGGCCATTAAACAGGGCAGTAGTAAAAACCACTATGAGGCTTAAACAAGCTAAAATACAGCGGCTGTAAGAACACAATTGTGGCCATAGGAAAATAACTCCAACCCCTTTTCTGTAAATGCTAGGCATGCACCTAGGTGATGTTAAGCCTCGCAGGCTAACATTTTCTACAGGGGTTAGTGGACATCAAACTGACCACAAAATCCTGCCTCTGTCCCATCGCCTAAGAAGCCAACAGTGGAGAGAAAGTGGGCACTGGAGAAGGACACTCTAACCACGGCAGTGGGATTAATCTTCATTCTCATCATGGTTTCCTGAAACCAGAGAGAGACAGAGACAGACAGAGAGGGAGAGAGGGAGAGAGGGAGACTGATTCCTTGTTTCCCTTAAAATGACTTGATCTCCCCACGGCTGGTTAGGTGGGGTGAAACTACCACCTTTGGAACCGGCATCCAAACCTGCCCAGAGGAAGTTAGCTGTGCTGACATCAGTCCAGTGTCACTCTCTGAGCTCGTGGTGTGCGGGAAGCAGCCCCCTGTGGGACCCCGAAGGGCACCCCACTCCCTCAGGAGTGCACACTCTTGAGAGGAGTTGCAAGTCCGTGGTGAGAGCGCGGCCAGGCTGAAGGAGAGGTTACTGCAGGGGGTTGAGGAGGGCAAACAGCAACCCACGGGTGCAAACCGGGCACAAAGGCGCAGAAGACGCCTCCAGCGGTGGCTCTGGCAAGGACGGCGCTTTGGGCCTGTGCGAGGCCGGGCTGCAGAGGCTCAGGTGCGCCGGGAGGGAGGGCGCCCCTCGCCAGCAGCGGCCACAGGTCTGCTCAGGCTCAAAGCCTATGTAAAATGGTAAGAAGGTGATGGAAGGCAAAATAAAAAAGGTATTTGCACTAATCCAAGAAAGAAAATAAGAATAAAACTTTTCAGGTGACGCTGGGTATGGAAAAAAGACCCGAGCGCATGTGCACTGCAGAGCCAGGGGTCACGGAGAGGGGCCTTCGGGTAGGAGGCGCCGTGGTGTATTTTAGCCATCAAAATGGTCCAGTATAATAGTTATTATTTGAGGTTTTGGTACCTTATCAGTGGCAAACTATTTCATGTTCTAAAAAGAATAGTTTGAGGGCCCAGGATTTAGCTCAGTGGTTCCGTCGTCTGCTTCGCAAGGACCAAAAAAAGTTAAAAAAAGAAAAGAATAGCTTGAAAGGGGCACGGTAGCTATTTTCCTAAATGTATAGAGAACACAGGACTGGACTAACTGCTGCAGAAGGCCGCAGAGTAAGGGACGACAGAGCAGGGACGAACTGACCTCGTGGAAAGGTGAGTCGCAGCACACAGACAGGGAGAGGAAGTCAGGCTGATCGTCCTCAGTGACCAGGAGGCCGGAATGGATAAAAATGCAGAGCTACGGGGAGAGGGAGAGGAAGTTGAGGTAGTAAAAGTCAGGCGGCTCTGAACCCCTCAGTACGTGACAGAGCTAGTGGACCGAACCGTCATTATTCAAACCAAAACCCAGAAAGGCTGTCAGCTCTTCCGTGGATGGGCACGGAGATGGTGGTGCCTTCACGTAGTGAAAAGGATCGGCAGCAGTCGCTGTAATGCAGTAGGGCGCTGTGTGAGCACGCGAGTCCTGAAGCGGTGTCTGTGCTGAGTTTTCCATCGGTGGAAACACCATCCTGCTGTTATCACCTCTGCCGAATGTCGAAGCCTCCCCTTCTAACCCGCCACTGGTCTTGGAGTGAATTACGAGCTGGGTCGTGTTTCAGTGGCTGTGTGTATGTACTTTTAATGCCAAGGCAAGGCTGTGGGGATCTACAGTACCCTCGGGAGCCTGCGGGGTAGTTCTAGTTTCCTGTATTTCCATGGAGTGAAGCCTACATTAAAAGGTTCATCTCGCCAGTGATGACACTGCCTTAATGAGGCAGCTGATGGGTAAGAAGAACATTAGAACAGTAAGAATCCAGTCGTCTCCTTCGGTCCGAACGATTGGTGGCCTCTGCTCTTGAGCCCCTCTCTACCAAAGCTGCCCTCTGGAGAGGAGTGCAGCTCTTTCCCACTCATTTGGTACTTGCTGAAAGACGCTGGGAACGTAAACTTCCCTGGACCTCCATTCTGACCACCAGGATCCGTCCGCACTCCCCTCAGGGGCTGACACTAACTACTTCTCCTCCTGGGTGGGTCCATGGTACCGAGCAGACCCTCGGGACCACGTGGCAAGGTGGCAGCCAGTGAGACGCACCCAGTCAGATCCCCTTCTCTTCCCGCCAGCCTGTGCCTGTTTTCAGCTGCTCCAGAGCACCGCATGGGGCCTGAGGGAGGAGGAGGAGTGCACAGGCAAAGGCCGAGCTCCTACGCTGCATCCCTGCACCGTGGTGCTTCAGGTCATAGGTCTGAGGCCTCCTTCCAAACCTTTGATATGTGTGTGAGTTTGAACGAGTTACCTAAATTCCTACCCTCCTTTCCTCTTCTCTGAAACAGAGCCAACTCTTCATTCCTTGCCTATTCTGCAGGGGTCAGAGGGGATGTCTCACGCAAAATCTCTTTGTACCCGTAAAGTGGGAGCAAATGGGAGAGACTCCCACAGGTCTCATGCAGACCTGCAGCTACAGCTCCGTGTGATGCTGAGAAATAAACTCCAGTGAGTGATCTTGCCCTCGAAGGCTCTTCACATGAGTTACATTCCAAGGCCGAACAGGGGACCCCAAAGAGAAGTTTCCCAAGGCCAGGAAACACTCAGCAGAATCCTGACAAGTGGGTGACATGAATAAATGAAAATGAATGAATACCAAAAGAAAGTATGGAGCAAAGAAGGCTGAACAGTCTTAGATGGTGGAACTGCAAAGTTGTTCATTGTCCTCCTCCTCAGAAAAGAGAAGCCCCTGCAGCGTACCAAGAAGGATTTGCTACACCCTGTCACTCACATTAGCATCTCTGTAAGAGGCACATTGTTCTCATCTTCCAGGTAGATAAAACAGTAATACCCAGAAAGTTGAGAACAGCCATCGCTGGGGATTTAGTCCAGTGGTGGTGCACTTGCTAGGCCCTAAGTTCGATAGCCAGTGCCAGAAAAACAGAAAAAGAAAAGAGAAAACAGCTACTACTTGCTCACATGGGTGCTCTACTTACATTTATTGTTCCTTCAGTAATACTTATTAAGAAGTTACCAAGTCCAAGCATTATTTTAAATACTAAATAAGAGAGAACAAAATCTCTAATTTGTTTGATTTTACATTCTGTGGGAAGAGCCACAACCAACCAAGATGCAAGGATGTAGTGAGGAGAGATCCAGCACGAGGCTGTGCTGCAGCGTGTGGGCCAAAGGCCTTGCAGGAACCAGCACTGCGGCCTGGGAGACAACGACAGAGCCAGTGCCTCCTGACCCCACGAATGTACAGCGTTCACCGACATCTCAGGGCAGATCGAAGGGTTTCCGCGCAGCCTCTGGCACTCCCAACTCATAGGCACTTGAGCCTTCTGGATGGGACCTGCTCAAGGTGGCTGAGGTAGAGCAGCAGAGCAGTGCGGACCTTCCTCACCTCGCCCTCAAAGGGTGCCTCAGGCCCTTCACAGGGGTCAGGGTCAGATAAGCACCAGAAAACTTCAACAGAAAATACCTTTTCCATCATTAAATGTCAGCCGGGTGCCAGGGGTGGAAACGAGACTGTGGATGGGTGAGGGGCACGGAGCGTTCACCTGGCAGCCACAAGGCCCTGGGTCAGCCCCCAGCACTGGAAAACGGGGAGGAGGAGAAGGAAATTAAGACTACCTGTGGATATACATGATGCGCAGCACTTTATTCAAAGCTAGACTGTGCCCAGAATGCTGGCAGACTCCCAGCACCAGCTGCGGGCCCCAGATAGACCCTCCGGATCCTTCCTTGGCCCTTGCAGGAGGCCCCTAGGAAGCAGCTCTGTCGACGCTCGGTGACACGTGAGAAAGGTTTGCTGAGAGACACACACAAGGTCACTAATGTCTCATCCTTGCTCTCCTCGTTCATTGCTTTATTTTAGGAGCTCTGAGGACAAAATGGCAACATCTCAAAATTCCGTGAGTGGAACTTTTCCAGCGGAGCCTACGAAGGGCCCTATTTCTATGCAACCTGCTCAAAAAGTAAACCTCCAGAGGGTGCTGTCGGCAGTGGGCCCCACGCAGAGCTTCTTCATGAGGGAATCGAAGGCTTTGGGAGTAAGTTAGTTCCACCCCTGCCCTGGGTCCATGCCCTGGAGATGCACGGGCCCCACTGCCTCCGTGGCCCATGGCAGAGTTCAACTCAGTGTGAAGCTGTGAGACCTGCCCAGGGTGCTCTTCACTGGGGCCAAACCAAGGATGACTGGAGACATTATCTCCTGGGTCACTTCACAGTGGACCCGGGTCACCATTTGGTTTGGACGACTCTATGTTAGGGGCCTCCTGTCCAGTCTGTTACGAGACCCCCAGCATAACCCTGCTCCTTGGAAATGACCCCTGGGTGGGAAACAATTGACTTGGAAAGGAAAGAAGCAAAATGCTTGGCACCTCTCCCCCTGGCTGGGCATTTTGTGTGGACCGAGTCAGGATCCAGGGCTTCGGACAGGGCCTTTCCCACCCAGCACGTGTGATTGTCTCACGATCCATGCCCGCTTCTCTCCCAGGCCATCCAGATCATGAATGGGCTCTTCCACATTGCGCTAGGAGGTCTGCTGATGATCCCCACGGGCGTCCATGCGCCCGTCTGTGTGGCTGTGTGGTACCCTCTCTGGGGAGGCGCTATGGTGAGTAAGAAACAGCGACAGCTATGGGGCAGTCAAGAACACGTGCTCAGAACACACAGGCTGTGGGCGAAGGAAAGCAGGACAGGAAGTAGATTATCAAGTTAAACTAATTAAGTGGAAGAGACAGACTAAGCTGATCCGGGGGCCACTCCATGTGAGGCTGCACAGAGAGGGCACCGTCCACAGCTGGGCCTCTGGTGGGCAGGGAGGCACTAGGTGTGTAGCCCAGCGAACCCCTAAGTACTTTTTCATGCTTTGAAACAATAGAGCTGAAAGTAGAGCTTAATGCCCTGACCTTCTCTTCCCCGTCCTACTTGGAGACACAATTCCAAGGCATACTGTGACAGATGGGCAACCAGGGCTGGACACAGGCTACATCAGCAAGGGTTCGGGTCATTATGGCCACTGTCCATGCCTATCTGAGGCCCTGGACGAGAGGGCACTGGTTGCCTGGGGTATTGACAGGGAAATGTGAGTTCTGTCTCTGCTTCTACTGTGTCCCTAGCTACAAGTCCCTAGGTGGTTGAATGTCACGGATAAAATGTAGTTGCACCTGAGTAAGGAAATGGACCTGCTGAAAAGCAAAGGAACCTGACAAAAACGGGGGCAGAGCTCAGAGAAAGAGTCTGGAGGTGTGGACGACTTCTGCAACACCAGTTCGCAGTGTACAAAAGTGACCTCCCGGTCTCCTCCCCTCTGTGCCCTTCTCCCCCCCTCCCTCCCCACTCTCCTCCCCTGTTTTACAGTTTATTACTTCTGGATCACTCCTGGTAGCTGCAGAGAAAACCCCCAGGACAAATCTGGCAAGTAGCCTTGTGTCACATCCGGGAAGGGCCATGTTCTCAGCGGAAGGCAGACCCTAAAAGAGCTTTGCAGTCAGGGACTCTGCTCCAAAGGCCAAGGCTCCTCGTGGCTCTGTTGTGCTCTTACTCATCACAAACTCGAAAGCGAGATGTGCACTCTGTCTGTTCACACAAACAACTAATGCCAGAGCCCGTGAGCATGCTCGGACAGTCTTGTTGGGCACAGTGCTGCTTGAAAATGCTAGACCTTTCTGTTCTCCCAGATCACCATCAGGACAATGGCCTGATCAGCGCTGTGATCTACCCGAGTTAGAAGCTTGAGTTACAACCTTGAGCAGGCCATCCTATCTCCATGCACGTCCAAGGCTCCATCTGTGAGGTGGAGGAGAAAACTCGGGCTGTCAGGGATGACATCGGCAGGGGAGAAGGGGGGCAACGTGGCAACCTGTTCCAGAAGCTGGATGCAGTCTTGTTTACAGGACCCTCGGACAATTCCCGCCCAGGGAGAGGCCGCCCTCAAGAGCTCGCTGTTCTAGATGGGTGTGGAGGGGTTTACCAGCCACTTTCCTCTCCCGACTGAGTCAGTTCTGAGGTCAGGGAAGGATCGAGCAGACTGTGATGGCTCCTCTCCGGAGGAGGTCGGGGAGGGAGAAGCTGTTCATGAAGACCCAGTTATTCTAGTCCCCAAAAACTGCCAGCTCTTTGGCCAGGGGTGAATTAAGTGCTTCAGAAAATACTCCACAGTGGCCCCATCCTATTATGGGATGTGTCACACACATCTTCCTGTTTTGAACTTGAGTCACTCCTGCCCCTCTCTCACCTGTGCTACCCAGAGACCTTGGCCCGAGCTACTGTTTGAAACATCAAGACCGGGGCTGATTGTAGCCTATGTCAATAGAGTGGGTGGCACTGTCACCGTTGTGCTGCTTTTGTCTCAGTCCAGGGGCTTCCATCAGTGTTCCCTGCCCGCCCAGGCCTGCACCACCATCCCACTGCAGTGTGATGCAATGCCCTCCTGTCTCGGCCCCGCCTTCTTGTGCGGAGAGAATTACCCCGACCCCACCAGTCTTAATTTACTTGACACATAGTTACAGGTGGCTTAGTGGGATCGTGGTGGTGAAAAGTGCATGGACACAAGGCGTCACTCATAGAGCTTGGGCTTGACAAGCTGAGTGCTTCCCGGTAGCATGAAATGAAATGAGGAGGACAGAAAAATGAGCAACACAGGGAGCTAAAGATTTTATTTTATAGTGAGAAAGGCTCAGATGCACTGATAGAGGAACTTCCGTACGATTTAGGGGCGGCACCCTTGTGAGACAGGAAATAGCATCCGGGATTCCTTCCCTAGTTTATATTCTCCAAATGGAAAGCCAAGCTAATTAATAAATCTGTTCATCTGTTTCAGATCAGAGTGAAAGTAATACTGAACTCACTGACCCTCTTTGCGGCCATTTCTGGGATAATTCTTTTGATCATGGATATACTTAATATCAAACTTTCCCATTTTTTAAAAATGGAGAGACTGAATCTTCTGAAGACTCCCGTGCCATATATTAACATTTACGACTGTGAGCCAGCTGTTCCCTCCGAGGAAAACTCTCCATCCACACAATACTGTTACCACATACAATCTGTGTTCCTGGTAAGTGTGAGACGGGCTTTTCTCCAGAGAGGAAATGCCGCACGGCAAGTTTACTGCAAGTATCAACACTAGACCAGGTCTGAGTCTGCTCCTCATTGCCTGTGTGGCTTTGAGCAAGAATTTACCCATATGCTGCCTTGGTTTCTTCAACTGCAAATGGAAATGGAGCATTGTTTACTTTGCAGGGCTATTCGGAGGAAAAAATAGTTAACATAGACAAAGTACTTAGAACAGTGACATTTAGAAGGCACTGTTTACCAGTATGATTAATATAATCAGTGCTACTAATATTCATCACTGCACTGGAGGACTATGAAGAAATTCTGAAGATATTATGAACATCTCTTCCTTTGTGGAGTTTTTAATGTTGGGTTTGAAGGGAAAATACACATTCCCCAACTGTGGAGAAGTTTCCCTGGTGTGACACCACACCACATAAATCTGGACCGAATTTAATTTTTAACTCCACCCTTACTCTGCGGAATCGATTCTCAGACTGATTATTCCCACTTTACTTTCTTCAGCAGTGCACATAACCATTCGCTGTGAGCCTGACACAGTTAGGGTTGAGGTTATGAAGGTGGTGTCCTCTGGACAAGCTGTTCCCCAGCTCTCGTCACACACTGGAGAACCAACCTTTGAGTCATTTGGTTTTAGACAACAGCCACTCGGCGAGCCCCAGCTGTGCTCTCTGTGCCCTTACCACACTGACACTTTCGCTCCCGTGTCTTCCAGGGCATTTTGTCGGTGCTCCTGATCTTTGCCTTCTTCCAGAAACTTGTGGCAGCGGGCATCGTTGAGAATGAATGGAAAAGACTGTGCTCCAGACCCAAAGCCGTAAGTAGATGCCACTCTGCCCGTCACCACACTCTGGGTAGCCCATGTTACACAGCATAGCCTTCATGGAGAACAGGACCTAACGAGACACTGAAACTACACGCTTCACTAAAGATGATCTTCCACATTTCTAGAAAGCGGGAAATATCAGTGGTGAAGACAATGTCTTAAAATTTGAAAGGGGCCAGAGATTTAGCTGAGTGGTGCCCGTGCCTGCCTGGCAAGCGCAAGGTCCTGAGTTCAATCCCTGGTACCAAACAAAACAAGACAATGTCTTACGATTTGAAATCAGTCTAGAGTTCGATGGAGGATACAGGTCTGCAATAGGTGAATCTTCTCACTTTCCTTTCTTCTATCTCAGCCTCACAGATCTATGCGGACCACATAAAAGTGGAGGCCTGGGGTCCAAGCCTGGGTGAAATCACTGGTCCTTTGACTTCACCCCTCAGTGGCCTCTCTTCTTCCCGCCCCTCCACCTAATTCCTCTCCCAAAAAGACTCCAAAGTTGGGAAATATGAATACCCTAATGGTAGAGCTGCTAGACACTTCAGAACTACTTAGATTTTACATAGACAGATTTAAAATTTATTTTTCAAATGTAGAAAATAGGTAAGAAAGAGAAAATTGCTTCCCTGGGGTTATAATCACAACAGAAAAGCCAAAACTAGAATCTGGACTCCTCTGTTACTGTGGTGTTCCTCTGCCATACCATGTGCTCATTCCAGGCAGTGGCAAAGCCTGCAGCCCTCAAGGATTGACTCAGACTTGCATTTTGGTAAGAAAGTGATTGGACAAGGATCTGAGCACCTGGATAATTAGTCCTGGTAACTGGAGGTAAATAATGTAAGCTGCATAAAAACTAGGAGATACGTGATAGATATGCATAGAGATTACTGAGAAAGATGTCAAGATCAAGGTCAAGAAAATGTGTTTGTGTTCCAGAACGTGGTTCTCCTGTCAGCTGAAGAGAAAAAAGAACAGACAATTGAAATAAAGGAAGAAATGGTTGAGCTAACGGAAGTATCTTCCCAGCCAAACAATGTGGAAGACATAGAAATTATTCCAGTCCAAGAAGAAGAGGAAGAAATGGAAGTAAATTTTCCAGAACCTCCACAGGACCAGGAATCCTCCCCAGTAGAGAATGACAGCTCTCCTTAAACTGTTTCTTCCGCTCTCTGTTTCCTCCTTTCAAGCATTAGTGTTTACAGCTTTATAGAACAGCCAACCTGTTGAGGTCTTCTCTCTGCACACTTTTTCCACACTTCCATTTGCCATTTGCATAGAGTGAGCATAGCCTCCGGCCTCTTCGAGGGTTCAGAGAATGTAGCAAACGTAGCTGATCATTTTGTGATGCTTCCTGTTCAGAGCATCTTTCTTACACTGGAAAGTGGCAAAATAAATGCTGCAGAATATGATTTCCTACTAGATCTTTTTGTGTATAGATTTTTTAGTAGTAGTAGTATCATTTTAATTTCTTCACCAGAAATGGAAAACTGCTTCTGATGGAGATGTGACTCCTCGGTACCATCCCTAAATTGCCCTGAACTACTTACTTCCACATCTACATTTTGGTGGAGTCCCTTCTGCCTCATTGTTCCAATAACAATTAATAATAATAATAATCATGAGAATCAGTAAGGAACAAGTTCCATGTATCTTCCCATAGGGCTGCCAGTGTGGCAAATTCTTAGAGCCCCACAGCCCTTTCCAGAAGCTCTAAGTGGCCAAGACCCACCCATTATCTGTACAAATACCATAGCTTATACATCCTGGGATCTGTCTGTCCTCACTTCCCCCAACTCCTGATTAGGCTTTTGGTCGCACCATCTACCTACTTCTAACATCTACCAGAAGGATGACTGCAGGAAATGTCATAAGGAGGACCCAGATCTTAATAATCAATGCTTGCGTTTATAAAATACATTCCAGATGACCAAGTATCCTATCAAGTAATTTCATTTGATCTTCCACGATCAAGAAAGAATCTCCATCCTTATTTTATTTTACAAGCATTTCAGTTGACCAAATAAAAGTAATCTGTCATCAGCCATGGCTAGTAATTGTGAGAAGTTTGTTGCATACCCAGATCTTTATATTCAAATCCTGCTGATGTTGGAAGTAACAGAATTGTCTACCCCATGACTTCATAAATTGTTAGAGCCAAGTCAATAGGTTTTATCGAGAATCTACTCTCACCAAATTAAATAGGTAGTAAGAATCATAAAACACACAAAATCAGGTTTTACCTCTTGGGACTAAAAACACTCAGAAATTTAAAACTCTCAGCGAACTAGTCATGTCATTAGTAATGATTAGTAGAATATGTACAGTGTCTATATAATATTCTCAGAAACAACATTATGCTTGGAAACAGTATAACCAAAATTTCAGATCTCAGGCAATAGTCTCCTGCTTTTTCTTGCTCATGTTCAAAGATACTAGTGTCACACCTAGAAAGAATGAGGATGTGGGAAGACATCACTGTACTATGTCATCCATATGCTAAACTATACTGACCACCCACTTGCAAACCTGGGCAATATAATTTATACTCCTCGTGACATTTGTCACTTTGCTAAGGTATAATGGTGGGAGATATGCCATGCAACTAGAAAAAAAGGAGATATATATCAGTTATCTATGTTAAGCCTCCACAATTCACTCTAAATAAATAAAATGTAGTGTTTTGTCCACCACTGATGATTTCAGTGTGGGTGTTTCTAGTTCTTCTGTACTCCTATAATGTCCAACAGGAGGCTCTTCTGGTCTTGAGTCCACTTCCTGTAAAGCAATTCAGGTTTGAACTGTCTGACGTCAGGTCGCCAGTGCTCATAAGGACATGCACACCCTAAAGAAGGTGTTCACAGTCTCGGGTGTCAGTGACATGCCACTCACGCTCAGCAGTCCAGTGTCACTGGGACATGTGGCACATTCTCTTGCCCTGATTAGAGAAAAGGAGAACTACGCTAATGGCTGTTTCAAAATCAGAAAACCTTCAAAAATGCATGATTTAATTTCTAATTTTCTCCACTGCTGCAATATATATAAGAACCCCTTTCCAACACCAATGGCTTCCTCAAGAATTTCATTTGATTCATTTTTCTGATCTCAATTATTTTTTACCAGCTCGTAAAACTCCTTGTGAGACACTTTTTAATGCCTACTGACCAAGAATGAAACTCATGCTATGACTTTCCCCCTGGCATCCCTTTATCATTATAACATGAAATAACATTGGCCAATAGCAAACATGGTTTTCCCTAAAGTACAAAATATGTTCCCTGGCCTTAAATTCACTGTTTTCTGCCTACTTATTTTTGTAAAAAGTTTTATAGCCATAAAGGAAAAGAAATTTTAAAAATCAATTGCACCACTGATTAGGAGATTGACGTAACTCCTTTTGGTTTTCCTTGTTCATTTCTAATCCTCGTTCACAGTCAAGCCTCTCATCTCATGCTTTCCCAGAGGTCAGTCCATGGTCAGTTGGCTCCGTTGCTTGGGGGCCTGGGATGAAGCAGAATAGCACAGTAGGGAGCACACAGCCGAGCAAATCTCCTCAAATCATGGAGGCTGGAAAGAAACAAAGGAGACAAAGGGGCAGGGGTCCGAACATCCCCATCAAGGGTATAATTCCCAGATGACCTAACTTCCTGTCAGGGCCACCTCTGGTATACTTCACCACCTCCCATCAGTGCCGTGGATGGACCAAACCTTTAGTATAATGAGACTTGGGGGGGTATTTAAGAGCCAAACCATAACACAGGATAAAGGAAACCATTAGATGTAGAAGACCGTGCCTAAAGATGAGGAACGCCCCTAGACTCAAAGTCTGACTGCCTAATTTAAGGTGATAAAAACTTATTCATAAGAGATAACCAATTTGAATCCAAGAATATCCAATAGAAAAAGAAAACTCTCAACAAATAGTCATGGGATAACTAACAGCCACATGCCAAATAATGAAATTAGAAACCTAACTCACACAATATCCAAAACCAAAGTCAAAAGGCATCAGAGGCCTAAACGTAGGAAAAAACTACAGTGGACCCTTGACTTACAAACTCAAATTCATTCCCCGGGGCTTGCTGTAATTCAAGTTCGTAAATTGCCTTCAAAGTCTCTCTCCTATATAAATTTAGGTCATATTTTCTTCCAGGTAAATCTCTGTGTCCTTAGAGAGATGCTGGCCCAGGATTTCTCAATTAATCCCACACAGAAAAGGATGTTGTCATGTTCCTTCCAGAACTCTTTAAGGGCTAGATCTGTACCTGAGACCATCTGGAAGCACGAATGACCAGCATTTGGGTCATAACTCAGTATTTTGACAGTAAGTTAAAACTAAAATTTCAGTCATAACCCAAGTTGTACATCAGGCCGGTTGTAACTCAAGGGTCCAGTATATACAAAATGTAAGCTCTGTGACCTTGGATTAGCCACAGTTTCTTAATAATGACACCAAAACTATAAGCAACAACAGCAACAAAAAGGGTACATTGGATAGCATCAGAATTTTAAACTTCTGTGTTTCAAAGGACACTATTTTATTTAAAAAGAACAAATATAACCCACACAAGAGAAGAAATTTTGCAAGTTATATATATATATGCAAGATATATAGATATAGATAGACAGATATCCAGAATATTTAGAGGAAAGCTGACAACTCTACAATAAAAAGGCAAATAGCCTAATATTAAAATCACAAAGGAGGCTCAGTAGCACCACACCTGCCTCACAAGTGCAAGGTCCTGAGTTCAATTCCTGGTACCAAAAAAACTTGACAAAAGATTTAAATATAGATTTCTCCAAATAAGAAATACAGATGCCCAATAAGCACATAAAAAGACATTCGATGTCAGGCACTAGGGACTTGCAAATCAAAACCACGAAGAGATACTACTTCGTGCTTATGAGAATAGTTGTCATTTTAAGGACAGTCGCAAGTGTTGGTGAAGAGAAACTGAAATCTTGGATAATGTTAGTGGGGATGTAAAATGGTGTTACTGCTTTGAAAACCTGTTAGGGAATTCCTAAAAAACTAAATGTAAAGTTTACCATAAGACCCAGCAAGTTCACTACTAGGTAGGCAGATACTCAAGGGAACTCAAAACATGTGATCACACTGAAACTTATATATAAATGTTCATAACCATAGTGACTAAAAGTGGAAACAACCTAAATGTCTATCAAAAGAAGAATGGGCAAAGAAAATATGATATATCTATATGAGACATTATTCAGCCATCAAAAAGAATAAAGTACAGCAGCATGAACCTTGTGGAGGAAGTCAGATGCAAACAGTCACATACCGTTTGATTCCATTTATATGAAATGCCCAGAGTAGGCAAATCTATCAAGGCAGAAGAGAGATTCGTAGTTTACAGAGACTGGCAAAGAAGCAAATAGAAAATAACTGCTAATGGAGGGGATCTTTAGGAGAAAATATAGAATAATGATGTTTGCACAATCTTGTGAATATATTTTTTAAAACACCTAAAAGGATGAATTTTGTGATCTGTGAATCATATATCTCAATAAATAATTTTAAATGATACCCAGTGATGTAGACAGCAAAGAGCTGAAAAGTAGAATAATGCTCCACTGCTTTGCAAAAACATAATTGATAATATTAAAGCGTAAGAAGGAGCTCAAGAAAAGTAGAGCACCTCAGGAAACCTCGTGAAATGGGAAGGAGCTGAGTTAAATCTTAGAGATAGGCAGTAATTACATGGGAGGGGAAAAGAGGGAAGAATATCTCATGTGGGGAAAGCAGTATCTATACCAGAAAATGTCTAGTTCTGATCGCGGGCAATAACTGAGTATCCAGGGTAGGTGGTCACTTACTTCGGGATAATTAAAATTAAGGCCATAGAGGAAATCCAGAAGCATGCTAGGTAGCGTGCTGAGGCCTTTCACATTTGGACTTTACCTGGCCAGTGTCAGAGAGTCACTTGCGGCATCTGAGTAGAGAAGTAACAAACTCTCATTAATAATTTAGAAAACATGTGAGACAGCAGAAGTACAGAAGATGAGGGACCTGAAATAAAGGTTGGAAAGGAGGATGTGTAGATTTTAGAGGGTTTTTTTGCCTGGGTGTTAGCAGTCTAATGACCTACGGACGGCTGTGAATGGCTTTCCCAATGTCCCTGATCCTCAGACAAATATTTGCTCAAAGCAAACCCACTCAGCTGATGCCACAGAAACGCCTTTGTATAAGTACTGCTCCGGGGACCGGGCCGGATGGGGGAAAGGGAAGTCCATGGCCCTCGAGGGTCAGGAAGCCCCTAGTGAGTGACAACTCCAGCCCCCGTTTTCATCGGCTGTCACAGCAAAGCAGCTTCTGAGCCATCGATCCACAGTTCTCAGTGCTTCAGCTCCACAGGAAATGAAACCTGTTAAAGTTATGCTTCCTGCTTCTGCAGGAAGCAGGTGTGATGAATCTAAGTTTGTGCAGGAACAATGTGCTTCATAAAATGCTACAAAACTTTATCAAGACCTATTCAACAAGACAGGCACAGGATGTTTCTTTTAAGTAAACTTGAATTTGGTGAAATAATAAGCTAAACACTACCTAGGATGCATCATTCATAGGCCCTTGATTTGTCCATACAAAACCATGAGATTCTTCTTAATTTTTTTTTTTCTTTTCTGGGTTCACTTGAAAATTTTATAATTAGGAAAGCTCTTAGACAAATTCAAAAGGCGCTATCATTGGATGGGGAGGAAGGAGTAGACACGAGCTGAATTGTGTCTCGTGCGTGCATGTTAGCATTTTCAGTGCAGAGGTGTAACATTTTTTAAAACTAATAGCTTTCACCCGAACCTAAGGAGACTTTAAACTCCTGACATGTTTCCCAGAGGCCAACACCAACGCCAGTCTGCTGGCAGCGCGGCAGACCTTTTTGAAAACTCCCACACACATAGCTCCAATGTGTATCGCTTCGAGAACCGCTCTAAATTCCTTCTGCAGAGTCTAAGACGGGACAAAACACAGAAGCAAACAGAAGGGAGAAATGTCTGTCTTCTTTCGTTTGCTTTGGGCTTGTGTTTTTGGTTTTGTTGTTTGTTTTAGAGGGAACATCTTTACAGAAAGTAGATGATATGATTTAATTTTTGAAGAAACAGAATAAAAAGAATTTTTGTAGGATAATTTAACAAAAGCAGTAGCATGGTGAGAGAAAAGAGAGCTGGATTAGAATCTCACGAAAGAAAAGGGGATATCAGGAGACGACGTTGGACAGCCTCCCACGGGTTTTCCAGGAAGTGGACGCCAGACTGGGGACTGTCCCCTATGAAGCCAAACTACTTTTCATCAGACTTCAGGTGACGGCTACACGTGCTGTGCTCATACACAGGATGCTTGTGCCTGTGTATGTGAAGTAATCTGCGTAATTAATCAGAGTCTGGACTGCGACTTGCAGGACAGGAAGGAGGATGAAGAACAAGGAGACAGAAGCAGCACGAAGGAGCGATGCTAACACAAAAGACTCCTGCTTCTTAGGCCTCTCAATTTAGAATTATGCCTACGCTTCAGAGGACTGAAACAAGAGGGAATTTATTTAAATTAGTACAAGAAACACATTGGCCTAAAATAAGAGGAAGAGAAACTCATTTTGCTGTGCATCATGTGACAAGTATGAGGGTGGAAACACTGCACCCAGAAAGTCACTTAGTCCTCAGCTCAACTGACAAGTGAGTCCATTCTACAGATTGAACAACATGCTACTTCCCAAGGCACACAGATGGTGAGAAGGGAGCAGGACACAACGGCACCCTAACTGCAGTCTGTCGTTTCTGTCTGCCCGGAGACTAAAAAGGAAACTCTCACTCTCTCCCATCTAAATGTGCACATATCACATCAACTTTCCACCTCTTCCCACTCTAACATCTCTGAAATCCTGTGGTTTCACTGGTCAAGTAAGTTTTTCTTTTAGGTTCCATAAAATAACAGCACATCTCTCCAACAAGATGTATCGATTCAGGGATATACTTACGTGCCTGCCTTGAGGGGAGTTCTGAACAGATGCTTTTTAAACAATAGCACTATCATCGGATGATATCTATTGAAATCTAATGTCTTAGATTTGGACACTTGTCCTTGGATGAAAAGCAGGGGCTGGGAATAGAACATCTCTAGGAGGTGGCTTGGTTCAGTTCGATGTTCTTCACATTTAGTTTGCAATGCTGTGTTCTGAAATGCTCTACCTCCCGACACTTGGCCAAAACAATTCTACCAAAGTGCTTTAGCTTTGCCTATCGAAAAGAATGACAGGTTGTGCTCACAAAAAGAAACTTTCACTAATAATGCAAATGCAATGTGTGAGAAAGTTTCCTGTAAACTCAAAGGAAGAATCAGGGGTTGGGGGAGCAGAGATCACGGCCCACACTACTCCCACTTCACCTCTCACTGCGGAGAGCAGCCACTCCCGGGGGAAGAGGAAGTGAACAGGTGACCATCTGGTCATGGGCAGCGGGCCAGCTGCCTGTGTCCCCAACAACCTCCACCTGTGTTCACGAACACGGGGACAGGTGGGGCTCATTTCTCCCACTCACCCTCAGAGCAGAAGAGGACAGGTGACCACCAAACAAGACCAGGCCTCTTGTGCTCACCACGGTGGGCTCAGACCTGTGTGAGTATGGAGAGGACACCGTTGCTGATGGATGGGCGGAAATTCAGTTCTCACACTGCTGCTGCTGCTGCTGCTGCTGCTAAAGACAAGCCCCAGTGCCCCACAGACACTGAGGTCCAAGGGTGACGGCTCCCTGCTGTGCACTTTCTACACCTTTCTAATGGATTAAGTGGATTTTGGAGCAGAGTCAGCCTCTCTCGTTACGGTATGAGTTCCTTGGAGATGTCAAATCCTCTTTTATTCATCTCAGCACGCAGTCCTTGCTCAGCCAACATCCTTGAGTAAGTGCATCAGCCTTTGTCCTCCAGAATAAATTTGTATCTTTATGAAATAAGCATTTGAGATCTTGGAGAAATAACTACAAAGCTAGGAAAAGTATAACCAACAGCACAAACAACTCTCTGAAGCCTGTGTGAGGGCCTCCCACTTAGCCAAAACTTCAGGATAGCATTTACTTCTGGTCTCAGGTTTCTGGAAAAGGAATTTCAACCATGTTGATGCTCTTCTCTCTCTTGGAGTTCTGCATAGCGTGTGCCACTGCCCATGTTGCCACTCAAGCCATCAACCGCCCCAAGACAGTAAGTCCGGCTCTTCGTAAAATAACTGAATGCATGCTTGAGAAATACAGGTGTCTGCGTCTGTGACCCTCACTGTGAGTGCTCCGCATGCCTGGCGCTGCTGGGGTGGGGACACTGAGTGGGGCTGTCCTGACCGCAGCCCGTTTTTGTCATTCTCTCCAGTCTGTCCTGGTTGTTCCAAATGTGTATGCAACCAACCCTGTGATGCAAGAGTCCGCTCCAGCTCCTCCTAGAAGTGACAGCCAACCACCCTATGCCCCTGGATATTAAATGGAAAGGGGGGCTTCAGTCAAATAGCATGAAGTAGAACTCCTCTTCAGAAACTTCTCAAAAGCTGGCTCTTACTGTCCACAGTGACAGTTAATTTTTAGACATGTTTGAAATTACACTCAGCCTCGTCACTAAAGACGACTGTATCTTCCAATCGCCGTCTCTCAACACTCACCATTGCTGCACACTGACAAAGGTGAAGGACTGGAAAACAACCCTGCAATTCTTGCCAAGTTAGAAATTTTCCCATCTGTGCTAACTTTCCCTCAATAAAATGTCATAAATAACATAAAACTTTGAAGATTTGTTTTAAATTCATTTTGGTCTGACATTGACTTTTCTACACTTCTCTTGATAGACATTTTCTCAATTACCATCTACAACAACTAGAAAATTGGTGCCATGTGTTTAAACCAAAAGTAAACCTATGTCAGCAGATGGTTCAAAAAGTCATTCTAAAATGGATCAATTTCTAGACACATATAAATTTTCAACCTGAACCAAGTTTATAAAAGCCCAGAAAAATCCAGTAATGGGAAACAAAACAGAGATAGTTATAAAAACTGTGTCAATCCTGTACTACAACAGCAAAGCCAGGGATTTAGCTCAGTGGTTCCACCACCTGCCTCACAAGCACAAGGACCCAAGTTCATCCTGGTACCAAAAAAATTTTTAAAATAAATACAAACACAATCTGCTGAAAGAAAAAATCGACAAAACTTTTGAAGACATAATAATAGGCAACGACTTGCTGAACAAACCCCCAATTGCACAAGATAATAATACCAAAAGTCAAAAAACAGCATTACATATTTTAAAAGCTTCTGTACAGCAAAAGAAACACCCAATGGAATAAAGGGACAACCTATAAAATGGAAACAATTTTCCAGTTAGTCCTCACAAAGAGGTCTACAATCTAGAATACATAAAGAAAAACTCAGGACCCTCTCCCCAATAAAAGACCCAATTTTTAAAATGGGTGAATGAAATGGACACTTCTCAGAAAAAGTACAAATTGCCAATAAACATATGAAAAAATGCTAAGCATTTTTGGCCCTTACAGAAATGTAAATCAAAACAATACTGAGATTCTCCCTCAGTCCAGTAAAAATGGCTATCACCAAGAACTCAAAAAAAAAAATGTTAGTGAGGTTGTGGGAGGGGAAAAAAATGAATCCTTCTATATTGCTTGTGGGGAATGGAAATTAGCACAATCACTATAGAAATTCCTCAAAAAAATATAGAAATTACATTTGACCCAGTCATACCTCCTTCTGGGCATCTTCCCACAAAAACTGAAGTCATCAGCTTTTACACTGACACAATCATACCCGTGTTTATAGCAACACAACTCACCACAGCTAAATTATAGACACAACCTGTATGCCCATCAAAACATGAACAGATAAAGAAAATGTAGCGTGCATACACGATGGAGTACTACTCAGCCATAAAGAAACATAAATTATTTGTAGAAAAATAGATGTATCATAAAGATAATAGTGAGGGAAATAAATTGGACAGAGGAGGCTAAATATCACATAGTTTCTCTAAAATTTAAATAACTTTAAAACAAAAAATGATGTTTAAAAAAAACAGGGAGTTAGACACTGTTCAGACAGGAAGAGGACCTGGAAAAAGGAAGCGAGGAGGGGAGGGGCAAGGGTATAAAAATGATTAAGATGTGACAGGTATAGGTACCAATTCCCTAAAATGAATGTAGCTAGTATGTGTGGCAAATACGTAACTTTTTAAAGTTTTGGAAAAGTCTTCCTGGCATCTTTCTGGACACTCTCTCCATTAATATTCTCATTCTGTTCCTTATGTTTGGGAGTGGGGAGGAGTGAGCCGTGAATTCAACGGCTTGCCTTCTTCAATACTTACACCTAAAGTGCTTTGTGGTCGACATTTTTCACTAAAGCCAGAAAATGTGAAAGCCTGATTTTTCATCCATGGTCCCGACCTTTTGTGTGTGAGAAGCAGGGATGCAAGGATGGTTGAACATACACAAACCAAACTCAGGTCCAAGCTCCGCCTGGCCATTTTAGACTGCTCGCGCATTGCGTCTGCGCATGCGCTCCCTGAGGCGGGCATGCGCAAGAGGAGCGCCGTTGCCTAGGAGACCCTGTTCCCTGGGCGCCTGGGGACCAGGAGGTTGGACTTCGCCACCTCTGTGATGCCACTCGGCAGGGTGCGGGCACCCAGCACTGAGGGCCACCCAGGCGGGACTTCCCTCTTCAGCCTGGGCACCGGTGAGGACTCGCACGGGGACCCCACAGCCTGCCGGGACCTGAGAGCGCGACGGGACAGCCTGGGCTGGCGGAGTAAACTGCGGGGAAGCCGCGGGTCCTCAGTCCTCGGCAGGGTCCGGGCGCCCAAGGCCGGCCCGCCGGTTTAAGGCTGCTTCTGCGTTGGTGAAGGGATCACCAGAAAATAAAAACAAACTATAACTTTATTATTTTTACTAATTTTATAAAAATAGAATGCGAGGTTGAGTGGTAGAAAAGCCAAATGTAGACTGTTTTTAGAATTCCAGCCAGTTACTTCATGAAAAACTGGAGTACTGCTTTCTTCCATCGCCAAGCTGGGAGTTTTAAACACAGGCAAACACATTATTTTTTCTGATTCGTAGTTTGATGAATACTTCATTTAGGGTGGCTTTGGTGGTGGCTTGATGGAGAGTCTAGAAACATTTTTTTCTCCCAAGTCTCTTCATACATCTTTCACTGTCAAGCAGTGCAAAGAATTACTGTGAAACTAATGTATCTGTATACACAAAATGACTTATTTTTACTTTCCTGTTTTATGAAAAGTGACAGTAGCAGTCTTGATACAACTTTTCACCATCACACAAATTCTATAATTCTATGACCTCTCATTTCATCAGGACAGAGATGTTAAACTTGTTGCCTATAGGCCTAAACCTTTTGTTAGTTCTGAAATACGGTGTCAGTATATATAGCTTACTTCAGTTACTAACATATTTTTTTCTCTTTTGCTATCACTGGTTGTTGTAGCATTTAGAGGCACTAAGAAAATAAATTTTAGAAACCAAAGATTCATTAAAATAGTCGTCATTGAACTTTGAAGTTTTGGGGTCATTTCATCTCCCTCCTGAAAAGATCAAGACCAAAATTGATCTTTTCAGGTGGCATGACTCATGCTACTGGTTTATGTGTTACACACTAGCGTATATAGAATTTTACTTCTACACAGGAATGAAGTCCCCAAAGGGGATAGAAGTATTAACTAGAATTTTATTTTATGTAAATGTGATCTAAACACAAGGAAGAAATACAGGAATAATAGGGAAGAAAGGAAAAGGAGATACCTTTAGACTTACAGGAGCAACTTTGATAAGGTATCTGATAGGAAAAGCAGTTCTTTTAATACACAAAGAACAAGGTAGCAGGTATGTATCAGGAAAAATCACAGTTGGCGAATTTAAGTGCAAGAGCTCGGTTTTGAAAGCATAAATATGACATTATAAATTGCCTCAAGTTGATAGTTAATTGCGAATGAATTGTTGAAAGTTTACTGAAAATTGACTGACTAGTAGCTTTACTGCCACAGCTCCTAGTCCCTAAGTGGCTCTTACACTACTTTATCACCTAGAGACACAGTTTGCCGCTAAGAGATAATATCTGTAACAGACCAGTCATGTTTAGTCACACAGCGAGGCCTTCCAGTCACAGAGACTTGTTCAGGACAGGTGAGCGCTAACTGACACCTTCAAGAATTAAACCACAGAAAGAAGCTGTTGCTTCTGAGTTGGGGAGGAAATTGCAAAACTGTAGACAAAAAATCAAATTTATGTTTTTTCTACTCAAAATCATACATATATGTTTTGTGGTTTCTTTTTTTAGAAGTTTGATAATACAGACATCGCCAAAGATTAGAAACAAAATCAACTAGAGGAAGTGCTGATAGTATGGCGTGTGGGAGTACACAAATCTCTAGAGCAGACAGTTTTGTTTTAGGGGTAAGTAATATTCCACTTTTGTGATCATAAATTACTTCAGGTTTGGTCTTTCCATTTTTTGTTTTTTGGTATGGGGATCGAACTCGGGCCCTTGCATTTGCAAGGTAGGCAGTGGAACCACTGTGCCAAATCCCAGCCCATTATTTCAGTTTTTGAAAGGGTGGTATTGTTAGATCTGGAAAGGGGAAGATTTAGTTCAATCAAAGGATAAAAGATCATTTTTTAAAATGTAGATTGTCTTCTGTAAATTTTGACTGATCTCATGTCTCTTTTCATAAACAAAACTGTGCTTAGAAGTAATTGTACTAACCAAACAAGTACATGCTGGATAGTAGTGAAAACAAAATAAGTAGTAAAATTTTAGAGAACGAATGTTTACATGTTTTGTTTAACTTAGAGAAAAACATATCATTGCTGTTTTGTCTGTATAGTAAAATGATTATAAATTCATTTGTTCTATTATAAATTTGTTCTAGTAAGCTATTAACCTGTTAAATTACAGGCCATTTATCTAGTTTTCTTAGTAAACAGGAAGGAATTATGAGGATCATGCACTTTGAAATCTACAGAGGAGAAAGCATTCTCCCTGACTTTAACTTCTTTGAGTTCGGATACTGTGTAAACCATTTGTCTAAGTCTCCTTCCTGACTGTTAGCAGAGGTACTTACTTAACCTTCTGAGGTCACAGACCACTATGGACACTGAATGAAAGCCATGACTCTTCTCCCCCAAACTGCCCTTCCAATTTTTTGTTTTGTTTTGTTTTGTTTTTTGTTTTTTTTTTTTTTGAGTGAGAGGGAAGAAGTTTGACTTCCTGGACCCCATTCATTGGCTTTTGAGTAAGAACTGTTTTTAAATAAGAAAACCCATCTTGTCATTCACGCACTGGCAAAGCCTTGACTTTATGTGAGTATGTGAATGTGTGAATATTTCATAATCTTAAAGAACAGTGTCCAGTGATATAAAGAGACAATATTTTTCAAGTCTGCTCCTTATAATCATGGGGAATTAGTACTCTTGACAGCGATATGCCTATATAGTAGGTATTCACTGAGGGCCTGCACTGTGTGGAACACAGGACCATGATGAGAAAACCAAAGTCCATGCCCTTGGGAACCTTCAATCTAGTGAGAAATATTTCTCCCAATCAAATTGAGACCCTCTAAAATGATACCACCTTTGTAAATTTGATGCATCAGAAAAACCTTAAATTCTAAATCTATAATACATAAGATCCTTATCAGAAAAGAGATGTTCCTCTTTGAAAAAGAAACTATCTTCTTTAAAATGTATCTTTATAGTTAGCCAGTTGTATTAATGTGTTTCATAGAGTACTTGATTTGTAAAGATTTGCTAGGACCCTTAAGAGATTTAATAGCTTCCTACTAAAGTTTATATGAAAATGAAAATAAAATCCTGTCATTTTAAAGACTAATTAAATGTGATTCAGTATATGAATTACCAGTTGACATATAAATTCAGAAATAAATTTACTAAGACATATTTACTGAGAGAATAATTGCATTCTGAAAAACCAAAATTGAGTAATAATTCTCCCCCACTCTAACCTGTCTTATCCAACATGAAGACCTAATTCACAGAAGTCCAGCTTGGATATCCTTTAAATGGTTGTGTTAGATTGTGCCTCAGTCTAGCATACTTGTGAAAAAACTCATACCAAGTATTCCTTGAAAGAAAAGGTAAACCTTTATAAGACTCAAAAAGTTATTCTCCTTCCTAAATTGCAACATACAAGAAAATGTTGACCAGACAACTTCCTGCATCCGAGAAGATTAGAAGCCACATTACTCTGAACTATTCTCAATAGTGACCCCTCGTGCCATTACCTAGCAGGAGGAGAGGATCGCCAGTCATATAACCAAGTTGCTAACTCTCTTATGAGACAACTGGTCAGAGCTACTCTTATGGAACAACCTGACTTCTATTTGGGAACCCTTGAGCTTTCCTGGCTAGGGCCTTCTGTCTGGGCTCACGAGCTCAGGAAACACATTGTTAAGTGCATGGCTATTAAACTTTCATCTTTTGTAAAGACATGAATGTCTCTTCTAGTTAATTCTTATTGGAATTGTGTTTTATATTACACTGTTCAATACTAATAATATTCTCTTCTCACAGACTATCCAGATTATGCTTGGCATCTTTAATGTTTTAATGTGGTATTTCCTGCTGGTTTTATATATGGGACAAATTAAAGGAGTCTTTGGGAAATACGAACCTTTAACGTACAAAACAGGATGCACACTGTGGGGAGTTTTTGTGAGTAGACATTTATATTGATTTAATCATTAAGTGAATAATATCCATGTCAATAGTAGAAGGTTGGAAAATTTTTCTAAACAAAAAAAGAGGGAACCAATTGTGATGGTAGATGCCTGTAACCCCAGCACTCTAGGAGGCAGATGCAGGAGGATCACAAGTTCAAGCAAATCGGCAAATTTAATGAGACCTTGTTTCAAAAAAAAGTTTTTTTAAAAAAAATTACAATGTGTCATATGCATGTATACATGTACCACTTACCTGCAATGAAACTAGTCATGTATGGCAAACATGCATGAATAAGAAAAAGAGGCTGGGGATGTAGCTCAGTGCAAAGGACCTGGGTTCAATCCTCTGTACCACATGAAAAAAAACAGAGGTCTTTGCTCTGTCTTTGGTTACTATGCAGAATGATTGTCTCAGTCTCCTACATGATTGTTCAGCAGAGATTCTAACCTGTTTCCAGGGGGATTCTGTAACTAAATGCTGCACTGGTAATGTATTCAAAGTTAAATTCTTTCAACAAATTTGATTTGAGTACCTTTGATTTACAAGTGCTGTTTCCAGAGATGAGTGTACAAAAGTGAATACGTAGTGACACTGCTAGGGTGGATTGTCCTGAGATACATCAAAGCCAGGACCTAACTGCACTTAACAGTGTTTACCTGGACCCTCGCACAAGTCAGTAGTCCTTCCCCACGTTTGTCATTGCCTGCCCTCTCCTGTGGTATTCACACAGCTGTTGCAGAGGAGGGAAACCTGGAGAATAAGGCACGCTGGAAGTCACAAGAAGCAAGTACTATATTACAAAAAATAGGGAGAGATTTGATTCAGCAAATAAGATGAAAACTGAGAACTGGCTGCTGAGTTCAGCAATGTGGTGACTGACAGGAAACGTGACAAGCATTTTCACTGAGTTTGGGAGGCAAAAGCCTGATTGGAGTTGGTTTAAGATACATGAGAAGGAGGGTCCCAAGTTCAAGCCCTACCTTGGCAACTTATTGACTTGGTCTGACACTATCTCCAGGAAAAAGAACTTTTTTTAAGGTCTGGAAATGTATCTCAGTGTAAAGTCTCTGAGTTCAACTCCCAGTACTACACTCACCCCCAAAATAAAAAAATATAGGAAGAGAGAAATTAAGAGATAGCAAATACAACCCTTCTCCACTGCTGGTGGGAGTACAGACTGGTGCAAACACTGTGGAAATCAATATGGAGGTACCTCAGAAAACTAGGATTAGAGGTCCCATTTGAGCCAGCTATCTGCTGACAGGCTTGCCCTTGCAGGTTCCTTGCTGTTTTTCTCTGACAGCTTTTAGTAGTCTGTCTTTGTGTTGCATTTCTGGAATTTTGATTACGATGTTTCATGGAGATGTTCTTTTCTGGTCGTGGGTATTTGGCGCTGTATGTGCCTCCTACACCTGGAAATTGAATTATTCCTCTATGTTTGGAAAACTTCCGGCTATCGTTTTCATGAATAAATTTTTATGCTTTGGAGACATCTTCTAATCTTAGCTTTATTCCTATAAATGTTAGATTAGTTCATTGTTTTGAGTTTTGATTTTGTTTTTATTTCTGGTTTTGTAGCTGGAGCTGTTGGGTAACACCGAGTAGGGATTTGCTGCATAGCCTTGTCTTCAGCTCTGACTCTCCCCTCACACTGGCCACGTGTCCTACCATAGTCTCAACTGAAGTTTTCCATGTTTTGGATTGTTGCTTGATTTCTTTTCACGGTTTCTAACTATTTAACAAAATAGTCATTCATATCTTTTGTTTAACACATTCACAACAGCTTATACAGCCCAATGGGACAGTTATGCTGTAGCTCTGGTGGTTCAAGCCAGTGAGAACATGTTAATTTAACAAGCTTGTTTTTGTGTCTTCTTTAAATTCAATGGATATTTTATAAATTCCTTTATCTGTTCATTTAAATAATCTCTAAGCACACTAAACATCTTATGAGTATGCTTATTTGTTTCTACTTTTATCTCTTCAAACATTTTTACCATTTGAATTTTTTTATTTTTTTAGCTCATTGCCTATAAGTTCCTCTGCTGCAGTGCCCATGAGAGCCGCTGTTGCCTTGTTTTCTTGTGTTTCTGTTGTTTTTGTGCTGTAGGTAGATCAGTTAGGGCAGAAAAACTCTGTCATTACTTTGGATATATCTTGAATTCGTGTATGAATCCCAGTCACATAACTGTGGCTTTAGTTATCTTTTAGTTAGCATTTATACAAAGCTCCTCCATCTTCCCAACATAATAGGGTCAATCCAGTCGCTGGGTTACAAGGAGAGAACATTGCTGGTTATGTTTGAGATCACATACACACACACACACACACACACACACACACACACGAGGCAGTCTTGCTCAGGACTTGTTAGGCTATCTGTGACTGATACAACCACACCTGCGCTTTGTCCACTACTCTTTGAATACTTGTGTTACAAGTGACCCTACTGTTACTTCCCACAACCATTACCTTCTGACATCATTACCTCATGATGGAAAGTTATCCCATCCTTTCCAGTAAGCTGTCTTTAAATTTTCTTAGTATTGTAAAAATAATTGACTTAGAAGAGGGAATTAAAAACCATTTTAAGTTGGCAGTCATTATCAACAAGTATTTATACATGTCTCTTTAATGTCCAGTTTATCTTATCGGGAGCTTGCATAATAAAAGCAACAAAGAATCCAACGCGAAGCCTGGTAAGTTGAAATGTTTGGGATATCTCTAGAAATCACGTGTCACCAAAGTAAACAGTAGATTTTAATGGAAAAAACAACGTGCAAACCATGAAGGAATCTACCCTCCCCATAAAACACATGAAGAAATTAAGTGACAATCCAGTATCATATAAATTAATGTAGACAAATATGCAGTAGATGTCATGTATCATTATTACCTTATGTAAACACTTCCAAATTTAAATGTTTTGTTTTGTTTGATGTTCTACCTTTTAGCATTACATGAATATTGACTAGAAAAATTATAAGATCCAATGCCTTTATGTGTAGACAGTGCTGTAAAACTTCATTTTCTGAGCCTTCCAATCTGGAAGCAGGATTTTATCTTGTAACAAAGTAAGGTATTTGTCTAGAAAAAAAATGATCTATGATGTAGGAGGAAGGATATTGGAAAGAAAAGCAATCTTAAAACTAAAGATTCTAAATTTGTAGAATTAAAAAAATAGTCTTAGACTCTTAGAGCTGAAAGAAATTAGTCTGGTTTTTTCACACAGTGGAGTATTGCTCTGCCATAAAGGTTAAATTTGAGACATTTGTAGGAAAATGGATGCACCTTGAGACCATCGTGTTAAGTGAAATAAATCAGACACACAAGCTTAAATACTGATGGTTTCTCTTATATGAGAAACACAAAATATAAATAAAAAGCAAAATAGCAGGGTGTGGTGGCACATGCCTGTAATCCCAGCCCTCAGGAGGCTGAGGCAGGAGGAGCACAGTGAGTTCGAGACCAGCCTGGGCTACATAGTGAGTTCCAGGTCAGTCTCAACTACATGTGATACCCTGTCACAAAAAACCAATAATAATAATAACAATAATAAAAAGCAAAATAAAAGATGGATAGTAGAAAGTAGAGAGATGGCTCTTTCTCAGATGGGAAGGGGATCCAGAGAAGGAAGGGGGTGGGTGGCAGAGGAGGTAAAGGGGATGAAAAAAGGATTGAGATGTTTTATGGACATGGACCCACTTCATATAAGGAACATAAACATTGTGTGCTGCAACGTACACCACTAAAAGCCCTGACGTCTGAATAAATTGGACTAAAATTCCAAACTGTAAAGCTCAGTGTTTGTAACCCCACGGAATTGGAAGGCTGATACTTATCAGCTTGATGATACTCTAATGTTCCCTCTAGATTAAGTGGGTTTCCAGTAAGCCAGAAAAATATTTATATGAATCGTAGACATACAGACTCTTCTAAATCCTCACAGCTGGATCAACTTACTAGCAAAACAAACAATTTAACCAAAATGTGTATTCTGAATGTAATAAACTTCTTCTGTCTCCCTTCAGATTGTGTCTTCTTTGAGCCTGGATATTTTATGCATGATTGTTACGTTGATTGCAATAATTCTGACAGTGGTGGAGTTGTCTAAATTTCACTCTGTATCATATAAGAATTACGGACAAGCGGTAAGTGACAAATTCTATAAAAACATCTTCATTTCAAAATTATGTTTTCCATTATTTTGAAGACTTAGAAGGCAAAATTAGACATTCATTGTTTGTCATTCAATGCTTGGTTGACAGTTTTAATTCAAAATAATTCTAAGATATATAATTTTAGGAAATACTAATAAGCTATTTGAACTCTTGACTTGCCTAATTAAAATACAGCAAGACTTCAGTGCTAAGGATCTGTGTATTTCACTTAGAGTCATTTGTGATTCTTTAAATGCAAGAAAAGAATAATTCTGGAGCATAAAAACGTTCCCAAAGTCAACAAAAGAATTCTGCTGTTGATACGTACAATTCAAACTGTCCACACTTAATGATTTCTAAATTAGCACAGAATTTTTCATAACAACCTCTTTCTGCCTTAGCTGAATTCTGCTCCAAGTCCCCAAATGATAAATGTACGCAGGGCTGCCTTATTTCTAGTCATGTATCCAATTACCAACTTTATACTACAGAAATAACTATATTGCTTTCTGAGACATTCTCTAGGAAGTGTCAGTATTTTTACTGATAGCACAATAGACTTACTTCAGTTGTGTTGACCTTAAATTCCGAATCACAGATGATCGGTTCTTTAGCGAAGGTTGTAAAAGTGTCCCAGATTAGATAGCAGCTCCTCCTTGTTTGCCCAACAGAAGCAAATAGATAACAATTATAACAATGGCTAGAAAAGTTGTAGGTGGAGGGTTATCTGCCTGCTCTTTCCTCCCCTGCACGTCTCCTCTCCACAGGACAGTGTATTACACAGACAGCCATTAGCAGAAGGAGAACAGAAACCTGGACGGCAGTGATGGAAATGAAAGAAAGTGCAGTGCCTCAAAACACAGTGTGTGATGAACGATGGCTTAAATCAACATGGCCAGATTCTCCTACAAATGGTCCGAAAATTCCTTCTTGCTCTGGAGGTGGAATATGGAAATCTTAGGTTCTAATTCTGAAGGCAGACAATAAGGAGAGAGGGCTTAAGTTCTTCAGTATCTAATTATTTTAAAATATTGAAGTCACCATCTCATCTGTACGCTTGCAGTTACCAGTTTAGGGCCCTGTGGTATAACTGTCAAGACCTGCCCTGTTAGTCTGTTTTCTGTTCTATTGCAAAGTAACTGCAGCTAGGTACTGATAAAGAAAAAGAGGTTCGTGTAGCTCCCAGATTTAGAGAAGAAAGCTGAGTTTGTTGGGCTACAATGACAGCCTGGTGGCAGATGGCTTTGTGGCAGGGACAAAGCAGTGTGAGAGCTGATGCTCAGCCAGAGACAGGAAGCCAGAGTCGGGTGGGGCCGCTGCCTGTCTTTTATGTCAGCCCTGCATGTCACAGGCACAAACCAGATCTCCTCTCAAGACCCAAGCCTCTGGGGCCCTCACCCTCTCCTGCCGCCTACAGTCACCCAGCGTTCACCCCCTGAGGGCCACGTTCAACTCTGCGGGACGTGGCGCCTGCCTTCCTCAGTCAGTATTGCCAACCCTCACAGGCTGTGTCCGTCTGATCTGCACTTAGTATATTAATGATCACTTTGTAATTTCCCCCAAGTCACAAGTTTTGGCTTTGTTTGCCATGAATAGTTGTACAAAATGAACTTGTATGTCAGCCCTCCACTCCCTTTCCCAGTGCACTGTAGTATTATATACCGACATTTATTCAGGCAACCAACATTCTGCACGATTTTCATGTGACAGCTTTTCTAACACAGGCAGAGCACTCGGCTAACCCACAATCTCATGAAGCTATTGAGGTACCTGGGTAGGTTCAGCTGGCCCCAGGATGCATGCTCAGAATATGCTCCCAGTACAGCAGAATGGCCACACCACATTGCATTCATTCAGACCCTACCCTCAGTACCACCAGTGCGAGCGACCCTTGAGGGAGTGTAGCTTCTGTTGCACAGTGCCCTTGTGTGTACATGGGGAAGATGTTGGTCCAGCTCCATTCATCCACTGCTGTGCTCTTTCCCACACACCTGGCCTGTTTGTCACAATGGCTAGTTTGACTTTTCTGCTTGGATATATTTCATTTCTTCTCATTTCAAAGATATACAATCGAAATTATTCATCTCTCTGAAAGTGCAATACTGTAAAACGTCCTTGTTTCAATTTCCTAAGTCCAAAAACTTGACCTGACCTCTCTTTCCACTATCTTATTCTAAATATCAAATTTATGCTAAATATCATTTATTCTTAATTTGAACTTTTAAAATTAGGATTCTTTTGATTTTAAGTGACCAGAAATACTGTACAACCCTAAACTGACGTTAGCACAGAAGGGCAGGCTTGCTGACTTAACATTGTTCCAGAAACAGTATTGCTTTCATTTGAAGACTTTCTGGATATGTGGCTTTCAGTGACCCTCCTGTTCCCTATAGTTATTGACATATTAATCTTATCTTGTGTAACTTTATATTACTTTTCTATCTTTTCTATTTGATTATAAACTTTGAGGAAGTTTTTATATCATTGTTCCTACATTTAGTTCTACCGCTTAATAAATTTCTTGCATATAAAAGACATTAAAGCCAACAAAGATAGAGGAAAAGAAAGATGCAAGCAGAATTCCAGGTCTGAGTACAATTTCTGTCTTTACATAGCCAGCACAAGAGCACTTTCTTCGGGTGGCGTCCAATATAAGTCATATGATGCACCAGTCATATGTGTATTGTTGAAAGTGTCTTTCCAATAGCAACAGAAGATATCAGTTTATGCCACAAATGACAATCACCTTGTGCTTCAGTATGAAATAGTCTTTGAAGCTCTAAATTTCTAAATAATTTCATAAAATATCATAGCAATATTTATGTGAGGTACTTATCACCACAAATTTAAGTAAGTTTGTAATTAATAATAGCTTCCTTAATAGACAAAGGGATCATTTGTCTAAAAATCTCTTGGTTTCCTTCATTCTTATATCAGAAGCTCCTTCCAAGAGCATGTTTGCACTTACTAAAGATAATAATGCAAAATTCCCCCTATTTCTTTTTTGTTGTTGTTGTTTTGTTTTTATTTGTAGTAGCAAGGATCAAACTTGGGTCCTTGTGCTTGCAAGGCAGGCAGTGGAACCACTGAGCTAAATACCTGGCCCCCATTTCTTGATTACAGAAACTGGGGAGGGAAGTTTCACGTGTGTTAATTACCGTCTACCACCTGGAATTCTGTGTTGCCCTTACACACTCGATCTTCATGTGTGCCAGTTTGGTAAGTGTTTTCTCGGGAAGACTGAGCACTGTTGATTTCCAGGGAGTTTATTATGAGGAGATGAAGTACACTATGCATTATGTTTGTAAAGAATAAAAATGAAATGTGTGATAATCTTTACTTTTTCTTGTAGTTTATAAATAGAAAACATAAAACTATAAAAATACAGAAAACTCTAAATAATTTTTAAATCATACAATAAAAATGAATGGTCCCCTATAGTGCTCATATACCCACATATCGAACTCTCCACAAAAAGGACTTACAACACAGTTTTCTTTTCTACTAATTACCTGTCTGATCATAGTCACAGTATTTTGTCATGTTCAGTTTTTGCAACTATCTTAAGCATTTTTCCATTACAAAACATATCTAAACAAGGCTATATTGTATTTCTTAGTATTTAGTATTCTTTTCTTACTACATATTTAGCTTTTTTCCATGTTTTTTTTCAAAATTATAAGCAATAACTTGAAGAACATTTCAATACAAATATGTATACACGTGAGAGACTACTATTTCTGTAAATGATATATTCCTGAAAGTGTAATTGCAGAATCATATTTCCAAAATGCCTAACAATTCACTATGCCATAAAAGCTTGTTAGAAATATCATTCCCTCACAGGTTTAAAATAACTAGATGGCTAACATTCACTTATTCTTTCTCACATATTAGTGGAGAGTCTCCTATTTGATAGGCATTGTAATAGGCATGAGGATGCCAAGTTTAAGAAAACAGTACCTCCCACCGTCAAAGAGGCTGCATTCCAGTGTGGGAAAGAGTGTAAACAGGAGAGAACCCTCAGAAGCAGGTCTTAAAAGTAAAATCCAAGAATGAAAACATGTAAAAGTTCACAGATAGTCAAAGACCATATATTCAAGAGAAACAGACTCCCCACAAGTAGTAGAAGCAAGTCCCTAAAGTGAGAGAAACAACCACCACTTCTGGGGGAGATGAAGCAATCAGAATTCGGAGTTACTACAACTTGTTATGTAAAATGGCCAGTTTTCAGCAACACCAAAATAGTGACCAATACAATGAAAAGAGCACTCAGGAGATATAGTCTCTTGAGGGAAGGGGAAGACAAATACTAAACAAAGGAACCAGGGATTTAGCTCAGTGGTACCACACCTTCCTAGCAAGCATAAGATCATGAGTTCAATCCCCAGCACCAAAAAAATAAATAAAAAGAAAGATGTCAATAATGTAAATATGTTTGAAAAATGAGAGGATGGCAGTGATGACTCATCAGATGATACTATCAGCAATTATTTTTTTTAAAAAATTCTGAAGTTGTACTGTAAGAATACAATAACTGAAGTGAAAAACTCACTGGAAAGGCTGAAAAGCAGATTTGAGCCAACAGAAGATAAAAATCAACCAGTAGGAAGATAGCACAAAAAAAGATAAATAAAGAAAAAGTGGAAAAAAGAAGTAAACAAAACCTCAGAAACCATTGAGAAAAAAAAAGAAACCACTGAGGAAACAGTGAGAATGTTTAATGGGAATCCCATAGAAATTGATAGTCAGGGGAAAAAGTGGAAGAAATAATTACCAAATATATTCAGCTGATTTTATAGAAAAGATCATTGTATACATGAACAAATTCAGTGATCCCTAGAGTAAACACAAAGCAATCCCTTCCAGTCACTTCTGTTAAGCTAAGTTTTAAAAACAGAGAAAATATTGAAAGTAGCAAGAGAATGGCTCAGTAAATAGTAATGCCGACAGCTGACTTCTCACCAGAAACAATGGAGTCCAGGAGGTAGTGGGGTGGGATATTAAGGTGCTAGAGAAAAATACCATTCAAGTAAGAATTCTATATCCTTTAAAATTATCCTTCAGAAAATGTAAATGATAAAATAAAGACATACACAGTGAACAGAGAATACACTGCTAGCAGAAATGCCGTGTAGGAAACACTGAAAAGAGGAGATGTCAGATGAAATTCAGGGAATGAAAAGCACCATTAAGAATAACCATAAGGGACTTAAAAAATCACAATAGATACATTTTTGTACATTCTTCCTTTAACTTATTTAACAGCTCACTAAACTGCATTGGGCTCACTCAGGTAATCCAGGGTAATCTCCTTCATTGAAGGTTGCTAATAAGCAACATTAATTCCATACATCATGACTTCTTGGCTCTACCAGTTAGCACAAAAGTATCCATACACAATACATAAATGAAGGGGTGATGGATTTTTTTCAATAACACTGTGTTAGCAAAAACAGGCAACAGGTCGATTTACTCACGTGTCATACTTTGCCAACCCATGCTCAATCAGCGCGTGTTAGGGAAGCTGCCGCTACAGCACCGTGGAGCTGGGGACAGAGTGTGCGTGGCTGTAGATAGCACCGAGGGAAGAGCAAGGGAGTGGAGCTCTGTGGGACACAGTTGCTGTGTGTTACTGGAATTAGCATTCACCTGAGATAGATTGTGATATGATGCATATTTATAACTAAGAAAATTTAAAATTAAGCATCAAAGGAGTTAACACAGTAATTTTATGGCAGGTAAAGGAAGGACACACTACATGAGATATAGAGAAAAGAAATGGTAAAATAACAGATACAAATCATTTCAATAAACATATTAAAACTAAAGGAGAATCTTGGGCCAGGGATTTAGCTCAGCGGTTCGGTGGCCTGCCTTGCAAGCACAAGGACCCGAGTTCAACCCCCGGTACCAAAAAAAAAAAAAAAAAAAAAAAAAAAAGGAGATACTATTAAGTGCCCAATAGAATGACTGAGTCTCAAGATACTGACAATTCCAAGTGATAATAAAGACTACAGATAAAAGAAATGCCACACTCCTACTTGAAGTATAAATGATCACAACAGCTTTAAAAGCCATTTGGGCATTACCTTCTAAACATTAAATATGCATAATCTTACACAGTTAGTAATTAATTCCTTAGTATATACCAATGTTTGTCAGATGTACTCAGATACATTTCCAGTAATAATATGGAGCAGTCTTTATAATAACTGCATAGTGGCAACACACAAATGTGACTGAGTGGGGATACATCAGAGTAAATTACTCTAATGAAATTCTGTATAACAATTAAAATGGCATCCAACTATACTTACAAATAGGAGGGAATTTTAAACATGCTTAGTATAGAAAGCAAGACTCAAAGACTATGTATAGCCCATTCATAAAGTTTGAAACAGGTAAAACTAAAGCCAAACTGTAGCAATTGCTAGGGATGCAAGATTAGTTGGTGGATCTAAAAAGGATCAATAACCTAAAAGTCAAAGTGATATCTGGGGAAGAATTGTTAATGGTGGAATCACGAGATGCTAGGGTGAATTTGGGGATGCTGGCATCTGTGAGTTCAAGAAAACCATTAATATTCTTAATGTGGAAATCAGGAAGTATACCAAAGTTCCAAGTGATCCAGTAGTAATTAAGAAAGAAAGCCAACTTGGGAATGGGACAAAAATAGGACATAAGAAACTTAAGATCCTACTCTGTAAACATCAGTACACTGTGTGGTTTTAGAATATAATTTGTAAGAAGTTAATTTTTTTTCCAGAGTCGAAGACACAGCAGTGTTTCCACACCTGTTACAGAGGAGGCTGAAAGTGCTATGTGAGAACCTTAGAAATGTGAGATTTTTACTGATGCTGATACCTGGTGTGGGTGCTCTGATATTTTGGTACAACAAAACTGCTGCAAAACCTGCAGATTTTGTGCAAAAGAAAATACAAAGCAAGTTAAATTTTCCTCCTCAACAGTTAAGAAGTTTCTATATGCACTTCTCTACGCTCAAAGGATGTGATTATTACAAAGAAGAATTTGTTATCTAGATCATATGAATAGTTGTCAACATTCCACAAACTTGTGTAAAACACTCTAAAACACACTTTTTCTCTAGAGTGCAGGCTATAAAGACTGCAAGTGTGATGTTGTGTAACTCACAAGAAAATATGTCTCCCTATGAGCAAAAACCATATTTCATGTTCTAAGTCTGTCAATGGAACTAGCTTCTCCCTTAACAAAGTATGACAAAGAGGGCCGGGGATTTGGCTCAGTGGTTCAGCCGCCTGCCTCGCCAAGTAGAAGGGCTGGAGTGCGATCCCCGGTACAAAAAATAAAAACAAAGTATGACAAAGGCTGCTGATTCAGTCTGTGGTTGCTCCTTGACTTTCACCTCTCCACATTAAAATTCCTTTCTGCCCCAGAAGTCTCTGCCATCTTTCTTTCTTTGCACTCTCCGGCTTCCTACTTATCATTGTTTGGATCATCTCTTCAATTACTTTTCAAAGCAAACTTCCTTTGCACAATAAGAATTTCCCAGGAATCTGTTCTGAATTCTGTTCTCTCTCTTCTACTATGAAACATTGCTTTGGAAAGCTTTGCTCGGGATATTATCATGCCAGGCAGGAGTGCATACAGCTCTCTTTAAATGTGCTGCTGGGTTTTGTTTTTGAAGGGGAAGGGGCGGGGGGGCGCGGGTGTTGTATTCTGCTGTCTCTCAAGCTGTTTCACCACTTTTTATCAACTACAGTTAAGATTTTTTGATTCCACAAATGTCAATGTTTAGCTCATTTCTTTCAATGTCTACTCTGTGCCAGAATTCAGTATATTCTGGAGTGTCAAAAATGAATAAGACAGGCCGGGGATTTAGCTCAGCGGTTTGGTGGCCTGCCTTGCAAGTGCAAAGACCCGAGTTCAATCCCCGGTACCAAAAAAATAAAAAAATTAATAAGACGCTTGATGACACATTTTTGTTTTGTGGAGGAAACAATTAACAAATCAAGCCTATGTGATACATTAATTAGCAGGAATATGAAAGCAAAGAAATGGAGCAGAAGAGTTAGTATTTCCTCTTGTGAAATAAAAGTGACAGTGCTTTATAAAACCTTTGAACAGGGGATTAGTAGTTCTCCAAGCAGATTGGAACATGTGATCCAAGTGACAGAACTGCATTATCTGTTGACCCAGTAGGTCTAAAGCTGACAGGTTTGGTTTTCCCTGATGTGGCTTTGTATCACTGCACATAGAAGGATCAGCTCATCCAAAGTATGGGAAAGAGAGGGCAGAACAAGGTGGTGGATAACCCAGGGATGCCTCACTCCCACAGAAACATCAACATGAACAACTATCTACACATAAAATACCTTCTCAATGGCTAAGAAAAACAAGTAAAAACATAGCACCTGGTAATGGCATAAAAACAAAAGCCACATCAAAGGGAGTACTAAAGACAATTTCACAGTACATGTGTCAGCCATCCCCCGACCTTAGTGTGGTGTGGACAGAGACCCTGTCCACTACAGATGAAGAAGAAGGAAATATGCACAAGACTTTGCCTCGGACTCCAACACTAAGCCTACCACAAGAGAAGCCAACACTGAGCAGACACTCATGAACCTGCCTTAGAGAAGTGCCTGTGGACTGAGCCTGAAGATTTGCCCCAGCACCAGAAAGTAACCAGCAGCCACTACAGTGAGGGTCCAGTTTACTCGACAGCACCAGCAGCAAACTGCAGCAGCCACAGACTCAGGTGAGCCTCAGAGGCAGACAAGCCTCAGCAGCCACAACGCTTCAGATGCACCTAATGCTACCAGCCTCTGGCTGTGGGTCTCCTGCCTGGCCACAGTGGGCTCAGACTTAGGATATCCCTCAGTGCAACAGCAGACCCAGGCATAGGGGCCACGCCACAAAGTCTCCCGGGGATCTCTGGTCAGGCTGACGTTTGAAGAGTACTTCAGACAGTCCACCAGGCTAGAACAGCTGCTGCCAGTGCACAGACTGTGACCACAAGAACCAAGGGGAGTCAAGGAAATACGCCATCACAAAAGAGTGTGCCACTGACAGACCCTAAAGAAACAAGCCTGTGTGAACAGCATGAAAAGAATTCCAAATTACCATTCTAAACCAGCTCAGCAAACCAAGAAAATATGGAGCAATGATCCAAGAAAGAATCAGAAAAATTAAACATTGAAATAATGAAGTCAAACAAAAATATTGCAGGTAATTAAATTGAATGAAATAAAATACTATAGAAACCCTCAATAGCAGAACTGATCAAGTAGAAGAAATTATGAACTTGTAGGCAGGTTGTTGCATGAAAGAAAAATGAAAAAGAATGAAGATTATGGGTTTTCTGTTACAGCATCAAAAGTAAATACTTCAGTCACAGGTTCAAGACAAAAAATAAAACAGGATAGAAGCTCACTTAAGAAAACAACAAACTTTAAAACTGGGGGAAGATATACAGGTACGGGAAGTTTGGTGCTCGAGTTATACTCGATGCAAACACAGCTATGACATGAGGATCAGAAGTGCACATGAACCGGAGGGTCCTGAAAGCAGCAGGAAGAGAGGAGGAGAAGTTATCACCACCACTGCAGACTTCTCAGCAGAAACCCTACAGGCTAGGAGACAGCTGGATAACGGATTCAGAGCATGAGCACACGACGCAGCCAGCAGTGACTAATGCACAGATTCCAACCAAGGCAGTACGTATGAAAAGTGAAGGGGACATTTCATCCCCGGGAAAACCCAACGCGTCTCCATTGGCTGACCCCAAAGAAGGGTAAGTAATCTACCCGAGAATTCAAAATAAATGCCTTAAAGTAAGCTCAGCATACTCCAAGAAAGCACAGACAGACAACTCATTGAGATCAAGAAAGCAGTAACTAAAATGGGAAATTTAACTGTGAGTTAGAATTCTTTTTTTTTTAACTTGGAGTTTTAAAATGCACCAGCAGAACTGATCAAACAGAGAAGAAAAGGATATCTGGGGTGTTGGTACAGGTTATTTGAAAATATACAGCAGAGGAGAAAAAGGAAAATAAAAATGCTGACACATCCAGGGCTTATGAGACAACAGCAAGAGAACAAATGTTCAAATTGTGCGAGAAGAGACAGGCCAAAACAGCTTATTTAAAGAAATAATAGTCAAAGTTTTTAATCCAGAAAAAATCTTTAGCATGCAGGTGTGAGAAGCTCACTGATACTCAAACCGAGTAAGAACATATCCAAGTGTAATTAAACTGTAAAAAATAAAATCATCCAAATCTCTTTACAAGGTCCAATAGAAAATACAGTGAAAGCTGCTCGGAGCACCGTCCAATAGAAGAATGGGCTCCTGAGACTGTGACACTGTGTCTGCGAGAAACATTCGGGAAATCTCCCTGACGCCCACCCTTCCTGAAAACCCTTTTATGCTTGCTTACATGACTGCTCCCCCATTTGACCCCCACTTAACATTACCTGGGTGACTGTACTTGTAATCTGATTGGTTGGTCATGGTTTTGCCCCACCTCATGCCCACCTTGTAACTTTCCATTGGATCTTACAGTTTTGTCCCATTTTGTACCCACCTCCCCACATGGCTTTGCTGTATAAAACATCTTGGAGAAGTAGGGTGAGCGGGCAGCCCACTTTCCAGTCCCCCTTCTGTCTCTCTTAGACAGAAGCTTTCTTTCTCTCAATAAATTTTTCCTACTCTTAAAAAATAAATAAAAGGCAAAGGCAGGAGCCTGAAAACAGCAAAAAAAGGAAGTATATAAAAGGGAGTTTGAGCGAGGATAATAGCAGATTTTCTGCAGAAAGGGAACAAGACAGGACAGGGGGACAACACAAGATGATGAAGGGGGAAAACACTGCCTACTGAAAACATGATCCCGTCAAACTGGCTTTCAGAAATGCAGGATTCCCAGACAATAAAAGATAAGAGTGTTAATCACCCCATTACTGTCCTAAAACAAAAGTTAAAGGAATTCTTTTAGCCAAAAGGAGGATTCCAATTAGTAACACACACATACATGAAACTCATGGGCAAAGGAACTTCTACACTGGTGGAGTGTAAATCACATCTTTAGTAGCAATGTAAAAAGACAAAACATTAACAAATTGCTACAATTATTTGTTAGGATACACAGTATAAAAAGATAAAAATTGTGACACCAAAAACTTAGAAAATTGATGGAACGGAGTAAAAGTATAGAGGGTTTTCATTTGATGAGTTACAATTTTATCGATTTTAAATACCCTGTTATGTTTTGGGCAAATCTTACATTTTTGTGTATATTGTACCTTCTTAACTGCAAAGCAAAACCTACATGGTATGTTTAAGTTTTTTGTGTTTAATTTTTTGTTTTTAATATTTAATTTTTTTTTACTATCACAGTAAAAGATATTGCCATGAATCTCCCTCAGAATATTCACCCTTGCTTCAAATGCGATTTCAAAATTACATTTATCCCATTGTCCTTGCCCCATTCTGAAGCAGCTCTGGAGTCCTCTTCCATGAGTGTCTTCAGTTGCATTGTTGTGGCCGCCTCAATGTCCTGAATTGATGCAAAACTTCAACCTTTCATGGTCATTTTAACTTTGGGAAAGAGCCGAAAGTAACATGGTGCCAGTGAAAAAGGTGGATGTGGACACAGCATCACGGTCCCAGGAGCCCATTCTTCTACTGGACGGTGCTCCGAGCAGCTTTCACTGTATTTTCTATCACACCTTGTAAAGAGATGAAAAGGGATTTGGATGATTTGAGAAGATGTGGCTAGAAATCATTGGTCAAAAAGGAAGGCAATTAAGAATGAAAAGATACACAAGGCCAGCTCTGCCTTATTGGTCTTGTTAAGATTTCACGAAAACAGAGAAATTTTGAACTAGAAGGATGAGAAGGGGAAAGAGCTTTTTAACACAGTGAAAAGTCTAGAATAGCACCACCCAAGAGAAATATAATATGAACCACATATGTAATTTTAAAGTTTCCTAGTAGCCACCCTAGGATAATAAATGAAAAATAAAAAGTTAACTTAGTTTTAATAATTAGTTTATAAAATGACCTGTGTCAGAAAATGTACCCTCTATTCTTCCCACCAAGAAGTCTTCCTGAACTCAAAAAAATAAGACCCCACCCCACTAAATATAAAGACCCGATTCAAAAATGGGCAACTGAAATGAACAGACATTTCTCGGATAAAGAAGTAAAAGCAGCAAATAAATATATGAAAAAATGTTCCACATCACTGGTCATTAGAGAGATGCAGATGAAAACAACACTGAGAGTCCACCTCACCCCAGAAAGAATGGCTGCTATCAAGAAATCAACCAACAAATGCTGGTGGGGGTGTGGGGAGAAAGGAACCCTTCTCCATTGTTGGTGGGAGTGCAGACTGGTGCAACCACTGTGGAAATCAATATGGAGATACCTCAAAGAACTAGGATTAGAGGACCCATTTGACCCAGCTATTCTTCTGCTGGGTGTCTTCCCAAAAGAATTAAAAGAATCATACCACAGTGATATATGCTCACCCATGTTTATAGCAGCACACTTTGAAATAGCTAAAACGTGGAAACAGCTCAATTGCACAGCAGCTGGAAGCTGGAAAAAGAAGATGTGGTTTTTCTATAAAATGGAATACTACTCGGCCATAAAGAATGAGAAACTAGACTCATTTATAGCTAAATGGATGCATATTGAGAAATAAATAGGACACATGTGAATAAATACCAAATAGTTTCTCTAGTGTGAAAAGCTAAAAGTGTAAATAAGATTCAAATTATATAATTGATAATGTGAAATAGGAAGAAAGGGGCTAATGGAGTAAGGGAAATGGGAGGAATCGGGAAAAAGTATGAAGGGAAAAGAAAAATATGAGAAAAGGAAAAAATGGAAAAATCTTTGTAAACGGAAGGGTGGGGGGTGAAGGGAGGCCAGGGGAATGGGGAAAAAATAAGAACCAAGATACATCACGTAAAAAGGTACAAGATCCCAATGATGAATGTAACCATACTGTGTATACCTAAAATGTACAGTAAACTTAATGAAAACAACGAGCTCCTCCCGGAGTGGAAAGCTGGGTTTCAGGCCACGGAGATGAAACATCCTGTGAAAAGCCGAGCACATCCCTGGACAGTGCGCAAGGGCAGGCAGAGTCCAGAGGACTCCGCGTCTTCCTGCCTCCGTCTCATCTCAACAGGCGGCTTCAGCTTGTTCTTTGCTGGGTTATTCTCACCAGCATATAAAGCTATTATCATTTCTCCTGTAAAACAACCTCTGAACTCTATTTCTGCCTCGACATATGACTACACTTCTTTCCTTTAAAAGCAAAATCTATTTGTCTATCTGCCTTATCCCCAAATGGTCACCCCCACTGGCTCTGGAACCCATTCTTGTTGGGACCCAGCCTCCATCTCTTCAGAACTTTGGCATCACCCTAGCCCCTCAGGGAGATCCTGGGCGTATTGCTTCCTGGACTCTGCAGATTTGCTCACCTCTCGGAACACAGCTCTGCCCCTCGGCTGGATCCTGCTCATTTCCCCAACGTCCTGGCCCACAGGGTGACAGCTCCGGACACACAGTGGCGCTCGGCAGTACCTTGTTCCGCAGTCACGGCGTGAGAACACCTGCGCAGGCCCTCACGGCCAACCTTGGGACTGTGGTGTAAATGAGGAGCTCGGCAGTGATCTTTAAGTCACTCGAGCACTTCTACTGTACCAGACACTGCACCCACAATGTTTGAAGGCTTTAAAAAAGGGGTGAAAGATGTACACAGTCTGAAAACGCCTGCTGCCATCCAGTGCGGACAATGTATCTAAAAGTGCACGTTGACTTAGTTCAATCGTCTTACACATTTCATGTGTTCTTTGGCCAATTAGTCTGGCTTCCAACCCGCATATATGACAATTAACTCTATAAGGCCAATTCCCTACAGTGAATGAGATCATCATGTCCTGCAAACATGTGCTGATAAAAGTCAAAAGAATAAAAATTAAATTTTAAAAGAAGAGTTCCCCTTGGCACCTGGCTTCGTGGAGAGGTTTCTGTTGTCTCGGTGTCGGGACCCGATTCTAGCAGATGTGAAGCTGACTCGGAACCTGACTTCAGTCAGAGCGCAGGAGGTGCAGGCAATGAGCAACCGTCTCGTCTCCCTGGGGTTGGACCGCGGGGAGGGAACAAGGAGGGCCCAGGTTTGAGCAGAGCTTGCTTCAATCCTGCCGTGGGGGAGCCGGCTCCGCACTTGTCTCCCAGGGCCCCCCGCAGCTCGTGCCTGGCCCCGCGCGCCCCGCACAGCCTTGGGTGGCGTTGGGACCACGAGGGCTATGCGAGACTGTTGGAGGAGGCGGCGCCCACCGGGCAGGAGCTTCCACCAGGGACTAGGAGATCTGGGGCAAAGGGCACTACCTGTAAGGTCACGCCCTTCTGACCCTGCGATCCAGTCAGCGTAGAAACCCATGGCTCGGTGTGGACCGCACGGAGAACAGGCCCTGCAGCACTACTTCCGCTGGAGCTCGGGTCGGTTCCTTCTGTTTGCTTCCCAGTAACAGTACTGCAGGAGTTTCCTGCTGCAGAGAAAGGAGGCTTGGAGAGAGTAAACGCCGCAGCCTCGGTCACACAGGAACTGGTAAGATCCAAACTCTAGTCCGTTAAACTCTTTCCACTCTACTCTCCTGTTACAAGTTCCTCGCTTTTGAGCATCCGTAAATATCCCAAGGGGCGATTTAAACCTTAACAAGTAGTGGTTCCTATAAAGAGAAGGAAAAGTTCTTAAGTGAAATATATGAAGACAAGATCTGGACTCTAGATGTGAGGGTAGGCAGTGTCTGAGGGAGAAGCAAAGGTCCTGAGACAGCAGAGACTGAGGAGGGGGCACAGGTGGGGAACCAAGGCCATCAGACACCTAAATAAACGAGCATTTCAGTTGCCATAAACAGAAACTGCCTCCTACTAGTTTTAGCAAAACTAAAGCTAGTCATTGCATTCTTTGTGATCGATGATTGCATAAGTACATAATGCGCAGAAGGTCAACCAGATTTCCAAATAAACTGGCCTAGGAGCTGGCACCATCGAAGGGTGGGGAGCTCAGCTCCTTCTCCCCATCTGTGGTTCCCTGAATGTCCTCTAAAAACTCCCTCCCCCGCCATCCTGTCAGCTGGTGCAGAGCAGGGCAGGGCCACAGCTCCTGTGTTTGTGTCTCTGGGTGGCAGTGCAGCCTGCACAGTGTGGGCAGAGGCTTGGGTCCCTGTAACGTGAACCCCGAGTGCAGCAATGTCAGAGCAAGTGTCCTGGCCCGCGTGACACACACGTCTACCTTGTCCCACTCAGCTCTGATCTGGGAACCGTGTTCACAGGTGTGAAGGATGGACACTCTACGGAGGGCAGTACTAGGAGTTACCCAGAACAGCAAGGGCCTCCACAGCTGTGAGGACAGAGATCTGTGAGCCACGACTGTTCATGGGCTAAACACCCACTTTGCTTTCATATCGGCCTCCCCGCCTCTCCTGCAGCTGTCCCAGGTGTGCACCCCAGACTCTTCCCACAGGCACCCTTGAGCCAGGACTGAACTCAGGAAGTAGCAGCAGCAAGCAGTGGAGTCAACCGGGGTGACCAAACTCCGGAGTTTTCCTGCCTGGGACAGCCACGGTATCAGCTGTGGCCTACAGGTTAGCAAGTGAGCAAAACATTTTGAGAAGTACATGTTGGATTTTGTCAAAATAACAATGTCGGTGGCTTGGTTAACAAACATCTCTTGGGGGACTGTAAAGAATGAGAAATGGGCAGTGTAGAATTAGACTCCCTCTGAGGTAAACCTAAAGGTACCTTGTCCAAGACGTCATTAATACTAATTTGTCTCCATATTCTCTTACAGAAGAGAAAAACCATTAATCTCCTCATCTCTGCTGTACCTTAGCGAAAAATGCCACAGAATCAGATACTGATAAAAGAGGAAATGAGAATATTAGGGGTAAGAACTAAATGCTACTGAAGTGAATAAGTAACTGTAGTGTCAGTTTCTAAATATATAAGGGAGGAAGCTCTGCCATGGGCTCCCCAAATGCAGCAGGGTTAGAGGAAGTATCCTGCAAGGCTTATAAAGCAGCTATGTTTCCCACCTGAGGCCAGAGCGCACAAGCTATATATTGAAGTTAAATAAAGTAGAAACCGTGCATCTATCTTTTATTTTTAAATAACCCAGCACCATCACAACCTGTTCTTCATTTTAGAAAATATGCACAGAGCCTGAAATGGACAGAAAAATCTCTTTTTCTAGCTATAAATCATTTCACCCTCAGCTGACTTCACCTTAAATTCAATGGTCAGATTGTAAGAACTACATTCATAGCAGGTGCAGGTCACAAGACACTGTGGACAGTGGTCACCGTAGCATTATATTCAACATGCCACCGTTCCCCAGGCCACGTCAGTAGCCACAGCAGGTATCCACCTTCATGACGAGATGATTCTATTATCCATCATGCTGCTGGGTGACAGCCCACATCAGGAGCTGAATCAGGAGTATTAAGATTCATCGTAGTGGGCTGGGGATGTAGCTCAGTGGTGCTGCCACCTGCCTCAAAAGCACAAGGACCTGAGTTCGATCCCCAGTACCCCCCAAAAAAATACATTCACTGTAGAAAATTCCAAAAACTCAAGGGATAGGGCTGGTCCTAGAACTAACAAATGAGTTCAACAAGGTCACAGGATGCACCATCAATACACAATCAATTCAAGCAAGATCAGTAATAACATGGATTGTATTTCTGTATGATAATAATTAACATGTAGAAATCAGCATTTTAGAGCCAGGGATTTAGCTCAGTGTTGCCGCCACCTGCCTCACAAGCACAAGGACCCAAGTTGGATCCCTGGTACCAAAAAAAAAGGAAGAAGAAGAAATCAGTATTTTCAATAAAATACTATTTGCAATCACTCAAAAAATTACTTAGGTATACATATAACAAAAAATATACAGGACTTATAGATCTAAAGCTACAAAATACTGATGAAAGAATTCCAAGTGGGTTACATAAATGAAAACATATGTTTGTGGATCACAAAACTCAACATAGCAAAGATGTCGCATCTCCCCAAATTGGCATATAGATTTGTCACAGTTCCTAGTGATATCTTTTTGGATGTCGACGTTAACAAGATTATCTAAAATTTATATAGATCAACTAGAGAACTAGAACATCTGGTTTATTGAAAAAAGAACAGTAAACATGAAAAATATCACACTACTTAATTTTAAGATATTATGCAGCTACAGTTATCGAGTGTGATATTGTTCTACTAAGAGACAGAAAAATGAAACACAATGCAGACCAGAAGGTGCACAAAACTTCTGATAAAAGTAAATCACTGAAGGAAGGGCAGTTTTCTCAACAAACTGGAGAGCCATTGGTTAAAAAGAGAGAAAGAGAAAACTTTAAGTTTCCCACCTTATATAAAAATTCATTCGCAGGGGGAAAGTTAATTCAAAGTGGATCATAGATATAAATATTAAATGTAAAAGTATAACACTTTGAGAAGGAAGCACAGGAGAAAACATTTGGCACCTAGTGAAGAGTCCCAGGCATGACACTGAAGCACAATCTATCCACGCAAGGAAAAACCCACACATTTTATTTAAACACGATTGTTTTAAGAAAGGGTCTGATAGGGAGATGAAATTGGGGTTCTGTGTGGGAGACAATACTTGCACAGCACTTATCTGACAAAGGATTTATAGCTGGAATATTAGATTTTAAAATTCTCAAAACTCAGTATTAAAAAACCCACAAATGATCCAGTTTTCAAGTCAGCAAGAGAGACAGAAACAGTTCACTGAAGAAGGCATAGATGGCAAATGAGCGCCTAGAAAATACTCAATATCGTTAGCCACCAAATACTCGAAAACAGATTATGATGAGCTATTTCTGCTCAACTATTAAAAACTACTAACATCAGGAATAGTGACTATGCCAAGTGCGGGACTGTGACCTATAAAAATGGTACAGCCACTCAGGAAAACAGTAGGACAGTTTCTGTAAACACCAACCCTGTGCTTCCCACTAAACTCAGCAAATGCTCTCCTGGGCATTTATTCCAATTACGCGATACCTACAGAGACAGTGACATAAGACTATCACAGCATCTCTGTAATACCTCTAAACCGGAAACTTCAGAATTTCACTTATGAAAATCTAGTCACAGATACCATAGGACGCCACTCAGAAATGAAAACAGAACAAACAGTGTTGATACACAGAGCAACTTGATGGATCTCAAGGGTTTTATGCTGAGTGAAAAAAAGCCAATCTCAGGGCCAGGGATTTAGCTCAATGGTTCCACCACCTGCCTTGGAAGTGCAAGGTCCCAAGTTCAATTCCAAGGACCAAAAAAAGCCGGTCTCAAAAGATGCCTAGTAAGTTGCTCCATTCATCCAACATTCTCAGAACAACAGAAGTACAGGTGGAAAGCAGAGTGGTGGCCACCAGGAGTCCAGGGTGTTGCGGGGAGACTGACAGTGAAGGCACAGCACGGCGTCTTTGTGAATGGGGTAGTTCTGGGTCTCCGTCGTGTTGGACACATGCATGTGGCACACACCTGTACACACACGTACATCAGAGCCAGCTTCCTCCTCCTGATACTGTGCACTAGGCGTGCAGGATGCAGTGATACTTTGGGGCCGTCACCTTGATATGCCTTGGCACTTTCTCGATGCGCATTCTTCCAAGAGCCAGACTGGCTCAGGAAGTGATTCACAACCGTGTTCTTCTCCCCCAGGCCATACAGATAATGAACGGCCTGATTATTCAGTTCCTGGGAACCATTTGGGGATACCTGCTCATCTCGCAAACAACTGCACTGCTTTCTGTCTATATTCCTATCGTAACTCTCGTGGGATACCCATTTTGGTCAACTTTAACTGTGAGTAAATAATCCAGCTCCTGAGAGCTGTTCATTCACTCCTTAATTACATTTGATGTCTATTTGTAAGCCAGGCAGCATGCTGGAGAAAGAACACCAAAATACATAATCTCCATTCTCAAGCAACCTGCTCTTAGGTGTAGTTGGAAAGAACTGAACCAATAGGAAAAAGACCTTAGATTCCTATCAGTGATCTTCTTTCTTAAGAAGAGTCTGCTTTGGTAAAAGACTACTTTCTGCATTAGCAGCAATGGTAACATGCCCAAGAGGCATTTTGAGAAAACAGAAAATGTCTGATGACTGCCCCATTGCCCACATATGAGTAGAATTTATTTTGCCAATGAGACAAGTAGGATAAGAAAGCACAATTGCTGAGGAAATGATGGAAGATACAGATCTTTCATTAAAAAATGGAACCTTTGCACTACATTGGTCCAAAAAGGATTTGATCAAACTGAACAGAGACATATACTGTTACTGTGCCTGATGGAAGGGTGACAATGTGTCCATGTCCCTAAATGAGGACATTCTTGAAGGAAGGATATTTTGGTAGGTGATGGGTCACTACCTCCACCACTACCTCCCAAAGGAAACGTGGCAATAATAATGGTGATGATGATGATAAGTCACTTGTGGCCAGAGATGTCAGAGCTTTCCCCAGCTCGGTAAACTCTTGAATTATTTCACTGAGTTCCTCAGGGTTCCACTGAAAAGATGGCGTGATATTCGTCAGCATTGCAGGACTCTCCTGCCCTGTAAGCTTTTTACAGACACAGCCGAGTTTTAACAAATGTTGTCTTTGTTTCCAGTTCATCTTCTCAGGAGCCTTTACAGTAGTAATGCAGAAGAGGCCTTCACTGTACACGGTAAGTAGAATACTTGTAGCTGGTCCCAAACAGTTTCAACTGACAATAAGAGGAAAGTCAGTGAGGAGTCGGCATTATCTCAGAGCCGCTAGAAATCTCAAATTTTGGGGAGGATAGATATTTAAAATACTTTTAAATGTTAGTTTCTGCATTTTCATCCACAATAAAAGTACATACCACAGTTACTGAAACATTTGCTGGATTTCATTAGTTATCAAAGTAATACAGGAACTGTTCAGGACAATTTAGGAAGTGCATCCATAAGTTAAACTCACGTATGACAAGTTAATGCAGACTGAAATGTCAGCCGTGGCCAGGGATGTAGTGCAGTGGTAGAGAAGTTCTTCACAGCCTGTGCAGACCCCGGGCTTCGATCCTCAGCACCACAGGGAAACGTCTGCCGTGACGTGGAAGTGGGGCTAGCTCAGAATGACCCAATGTCGATTACTACCATCTTCTCTTTTCCCCCTTTCTGGCTTTCTGGCATGTTTAAGAACTTTTCCCTGGAGGATAAGAGAGGGTATGAAAAGAGAAGTAGGGCATGGACGCCTCCCAGTGGACGGAATCATTATGTACTGCAAACAGGGACTGGTGAAAAATCGAAAAGAGAACTTCGAACTGTTACGATAAAAACTGTGAACGGTGCTGTGAAGAGGGACCACACCGACTCCCTTCAGAACGCGGAGACTTTTGTGGTGATAGCCGCTGACGTGGAAGAATAAGAAGTTAGAATAATTATCTATGTTAACACAAGGAAGTGATAAGTGGGGTGGTGGAGGAAGAACCCTATGAAATGTATTCCCCAAAAGAGGAACAAAGTGGCAGAACAAGTAAAGGCCCTCATTTCAGAAGACTAGAATTTATCCGGAGCCCCAGCAGAAACTGTGAGCCATCCACCCAGGAGATGCTGCTACACCTCAGAAACACAGAAAGGCCCTTCGAGTTTTAATCTGGAGCTGTTCCTGTCTCCTCTGGCTCCTCAGCTCAGCGGCATGGAAGAGCCAGCGATTCGTAACCAGCAGAGACAGCAAACGTCGTTCCACCTCTGCTGTAACCTCCCTTCTGTTCACACTCAGTATTTTGTCTGAGCTTGCGGCTCCCTGAAAAATTACTGTGCCAGGATATTGTGGCTGTTTGTTGGGTCACTGATCTCTGTTTCCACAGCAGTGGTGCGCCTGACTAAGGCTGGAAATTCAGGTGAATAACAGCCTGGTCAGAATGTGTAATAAAATTCTGAAAACAACCTAAAAGCTCTGAGAAGTTCTAGACGAGGTGGTGAGCACAGGTGCCCAGGACTTGTCACCTGCTCCACACCCAGAGCCATGACAACCAGTGGGCAGCTGCACCCGTGAGCCAAGTGGCCCTGGAGCCCCGCGGTGGAGAGACAAGGAGCCATGCAGAACCAGGATGGCAGCACAGAGTGGAGCCTGGCACCCCGGCTGTGGGAGAGTCCACAGACCCCCAAGTCCCTGGATCGAGAAATGGAGCGAGGAACCAGGGATTTAGCTCAGTGATTCCACCGCCTGCCCTGCAAGCACAAGGTCCTGTACCAAAAAAAATACACATATACAAGAAGAAAAGAAACAGAGGGAGAGGGGAACAAGGGGAGGAAAGAGCCTGAGGAAAGAAATGAAGATGTCTGATGTGAAAAACTAAAAGTGTAAATAAGGTTCAAATTATATAACTGATAATGTGAAATAGGAATAAAAGGTCCAAAGGAGTAGGGGAGGTGGAAAGGAAAGAAGGGAAAAGAAAAAACATGAGAAAAGGAAAAAAATAGAAACAAAGTCTCTGTAAATAGGGAAGGGTGGAGGAGGTGAAATGAGGACAGGGGGTGGGGAAGATGAGAACCAAGACACAGCATGTAAAGGCACAAGATTCCAGTGACAAATGTAACTGTGCCGTGCACCTAAATGTACCAGTAACTCAGTGAGAAAAAAGAAACGGAGATGTGTTCTGCACATGCACCAACTCCACACGAGCAATGTGAACGTGATGTACCACAGACATGAACTAGTAAAACAAAGAAGAAACAGTGCCATCTGAGCCTTCTAAAATTATGGTACACTTCAAAAACTAGCAAATTAAATGAGATCCGTGGACAACCTACAATAAAGATTTAGAGAAACATATGTCTTCGTACAGTGGAACAGGTTTCAGAATCCAATGATTTAAACACTCATACTTTAATTTGATTTAGAAACATGTTAGTGCAGACATGGACCAGGAAATAAGTCTAACAGAAGGGTCTCAACAATATTGCACTTATCACCTCCCTGGCCTCAACCGTAAACAAAGGACACAAGAGCAGCAACGTTATAAATAGACCATCTGGAGTACACCACCACGCAGAAACATGGCCTGAATACGCAGTGGGTACTAGAACCATGGAGTTCCCCCTCCACCCTCAAGATAACACCCAAGGATCTAGCGCAAAAGCCTGTACTTTTCCCACAAAATTCTCTGCAATTCACATGCTGGGTCTCCAAAATGAACCATAAAAGCTCCTGAACATCAGCTCTCTGGTAGCCTCGGCTTTGGAGCACTGTGTATTTGCCTACATCGTGAGCAATTTTTCTTTACGTTCTATTCACATTTAGTATACATTTTATCTTCCTTGACTTTTTTGAAAAATTCTTGAAAGCAGAGCACATTTGTTTCCTGCTGCTTTATCAGTTAATGCAGAGCTTGGTTTCTGCAGACCAGAACAGGCATTCGGTAAATTATTTTTAAGCTGAGAAACATACGCATGTTGCAACACAAGTTTCACGATCTCCAAAATTGTTCAGACGCTGGTAAGTATGCAGTTCTGTCAGTTTCTTTACAGATCTTATTGTTCTGGAAGGATCAGAGAGTACAGAGATGTCCTGCCGGGGTGTACGCGCCACAGATGACTGTGAAACCACTCCCAATGGCCGTGTGGCACTGTTTATCTGTTGCAGATATCTTATGCGATCTTGGGGAACATCATCAGCTCCTGCATCGCGGTGCTCGGCCTGCTCTTGCTAATATTTGAGCTTAGTGTAGCTACCTTTTTGGTAGAAACATCTATTTGGCAAATGGTAAGTACCAGGTTCCTGTACCATTCATGGCTTTAGAGTCAGGCATTAAATTATTTGGTGAGTGATCAGTTACTTAAATATGATAGAAGTCGTGGGGTGAGTTTCACCCTTAGTTTAGTCTTCAGCATCTGCACAGATGACAAATGTGATTCAAACCACAGGTCACATTCCTATGCCTGGGGTCACCCAAAACCTCCAGTAATCAAATAAAACTGATTATAAATAGTAATGCAGATATTTTGAGTGAGCAAGCATCCTATTCACCCCTCCCTGCTGCTATGTTACGCAGTAACGCTTCCTCGTCAAACTCAGTTTGTTCCAGATTCACATTTGAACACCAAAAGTTCAAGGACTGAGCATATTTTTCCCATAAGAAATAATGTAAAACCAAATAAGTGGTTCTGAGACCCACAAATTACACGTGTAAATTCATTTTTCCAGAATTTTAACAAACTTTGACATGATTTCTCTCTTACTCTATTGGAGTTATCACAGTTTTCCTCTTAGCTTTACTGCTGGTAAATTTTCTGCTACTAAAGTTCTTTGGCAGAAATCTTTTATCACTCTATCCTCATCCTTAATAATCAGGACTCATTCTCATTGTAATCAAGAACATGCAAAGGAGCTGGGGTGTAATTCAGTAGTAAATTGTTTGCCTGGCTTGGGCAGCACCTTTGATCTGCAGCACCACACACACAAAAAAAAATGTCCAGTTGTTGAAGATAGAAAATATACTAAGTAGTTTTTCTGTTTTTTTTATTCTTGCAATTCTATAATACCTTTATTCTGAAAGTATTTAAATATGAAAAGATCTGTAAGGGGAAAACAAAAATATATTTTCTTTTTGGATATAGAGAAGTGCTAAAATGCTCTCGGGATATTTGTTCCTGTTCACTGCTTTGGAGCTGTTTGTGGCCAGTGTAGCAACCCACTGGGCATACCAAGCAAAAAAGTCAAACCTAAATACATAGTGAGTATCTCACTTCTTCCTTGACGAACAAAAGCTCTTGGGTTCTTTCACAAATCCTATGTGAGCAACTAACATTTTGATATGAATTAAACATAAAGTGTGTTATCACTAGGCTGGGGGTGTAGCTCAGCAGTGGAATGCTTGCCTAGTATTTGCAAGGCCCTGGGTTCAATGCCCAGCACTTCAGAAAAGGAGGGTGTTGTCCTGTGGTAAACTGTGATTGTAGATAGCTGAAAACACTGGGCAGTAATTCTTGTGCATGCACTAAATGAGTCCTTACAATTGAAAACGAACATTCTTCCCTGTATGAAATGTCTTGTATTTACAAGATTTTTGTTTGTTTGTTTGTTTTTGTTGTTTTTTGGGTTTGGGGGGTTTTTGGTACCGGGGATTGAACTCAGGTCCTTGCGCTTGCAAGGCAGGCCACAGAACCGCTGAGCTATATCCCTGGCCCTTTACAAGATGTTTTATGCCTACACCCTCATGAGTGAATATGATAGAAAATGCTGATATATGTTTAGTTCAGCAGATAACTCTCTAGGACAAAAATCATTTTGTAGAAGTTGTTATCAGGCTCAGGGACATGGGAATGCTGAGGTTAATACTCAGAATTTCAAAGAACAACTTGAATGTCAAAGTATAGGAATTTCAGTTTCTTCAGAAATCTAGATTTTGGAGGCACCATCAAGCTGGAAAAGATGATGAAAACCTTTCTTTAGGAGACCTATTTTCTTATTTCCACCACATCTACTACTTCAGAACTAAAGGCAGACATTATCTCCAGTGGACCTTGTCATCACTGAATCAAAAAGCTCTGGTGAAGGATACGTCTACACATTCCCCTTGTGCCCACTCCAGATCATAAGAAGGCATGCGAGGTTAACAGGAAGTAGACTGTGGTTTATCTGCGCATTCTAGACCAGAAGTACCGGGAGGTCTAGGAAACTGCAAACCTCTGCCCATTCTACCTACCATTGCTCACCTCACAAATTTGACCTGGCTTCCTACATAGGTCACAATATCTTTAGATAGCTGTTCTCTCCCTTGATTTTCCCAATTATACCCACATTTCCTCAGTGGGCAGCACCATATGTACACTTACAACTTGGTTAATCACTTGCAAGTGTACAATGGCCCTGGTGCTATATTTCTGTCCTAGACCTTTGAACTGAGTCTCTAGACTCATATTTGCAACTTCTCACAGTGACTTTGATCCAGATGATCCCAATGAAACTCAAATAAAATACAATCACAACCGAACTAATAATCATCTCCCCTGCAATATCATTTCTGTATCTGTTTTCCATTCAGCTGCACCATTATCCACCCGATAGCCCTTGTCAGGGAGCTGAGAAACACTCCCAAATTGAAATAATCTGACAATCTTTCTCACATAGCACACTATGTGTTTCATTTCTGTCCCTTTCTTTCTCTTCCACAATTAAAGTTTAGACAACACAGTATGAGAGCCTGTATTCCAGTGCTGCATTAATTTCTGCAATAATTTAGCCCTAACCTGCTTTCTTGACCTATTTCCCAACACATGCCAACATAAACACTGTTCCAACTGCATCAATTCACCCATTACACCTTCATCCTTCATTTAAACATCCATGATTTAGGTGACCCTCCTAACTTGCAGATAACTTTTCTAAAATAATGACTATTTGCTAAATTTTTTTTTTTTTTTTTTTTTTTTTTTTTTTTTTTTTTTTTTTTTTTTTTTTTTTTTTTTGGTACCGGGGATCGAACTCAGGTCCTTGCACTTGAAAGGCAGAACCACTGAGCTAGATCCCCAGCCCAAAAATTACTATTTGAATTAATCTGATAAAACTGGTGAAGAAACTAGAAGAAATTATCAGATACATTTTTCTTGGATATCTCACTTTCTCTTGATACTCAGAGGCTTTTTTACTGCAAACGTCATTTCCTTTAAAAAAACATGAATTAGATGTCTTGTCACTCTATAGAAATTAGGGCATTAAAAACTTGACACATATATAAATCACTGATTACCTTTCAATAAATTTTCTTTAGGTAAAATTGGAAGCTGAATTTCTATCTGAAGGCATTCAAACTCATAATCTAAAGGAAAAAATTTTGTAGCTCTATTTAAACACAAAGTAAACATATAAATACCCACGTATCATTCTTCGTTCTCCTCTAAACAAAGTGAAAAGCAAAGAATGGATTGAACATATTAGAACATAGCATTTTCTACCCAAACTAGACAGAGCTGAAATGGAAAGAAGAGAAGAAGACTAAGAGGAAGAGAAAAGGAAGGAAATGAAGAAAATAACTTAAAGGCATGTAGTTTTAGGGATCCCAATAATGAGGGAAATCCAATCAGAATGCTTTCCAAAATGCTACTGACAATTCTGTAGTTTTTTTTATTTTAATGTGCATTAATGAGAAATTTACTAACATCTAACTCACCTCAGGTTCATGGCAGACGGGAATCCTTTTCCTACATATTAAAGAGCCATCATGACCTCAGTCAAGAAGGAAGGTTTAGTGGTGAATAAAGAACTCCTTTGTTCAAGAGGCTTCCTGGAAAATGTGATTTAATTAAAGTTATCTGAATATTTCCTTTTGCCTATTTCATTAATAAAACACAATATTGATGAATGTTTTTTTTTCTATGTGGGGAGTTCAGCATAAATTTATTTTATCAGATAAAATGTATCTAAAGCTGAATGGATCTTCTGTGCAGAGAAATTCTATGAACAGCGCATGTTCCTAGGGTAGAATCTATACCTAATACTGATGAAGTGAAATGATGCTAACTCAAGGAAGTCATTTCACTGTGAAAAGGAAATCAGCACATGGGCTGGGGATTTAGCTCAGTGGTTCTGCCGCCTGCCTGGCAAGTGCCAGGTCCTGAATTCAATCCCCAGTACCAAAGAAAAAAGAAAAGAAAAGAAAATCAGCATAAGCTAAAGATAGTTCCACGCCTATGAAGGCAGACAGACACTAAATTTGATGTCTAACATTCCTTTTTTACACACTGTTAAAATATGTAGAGCTTACCTCTAGTAGGAAAGTGTATTACAATTAGCCATGTCTTTATGTAATTGAGACTACTTGAAGGAATGACCACTGAATTTTGGTTTTTTCAGAAAGTCCAATTCCCAAAATGTTACATCCTTTTTGTGCACAATTTTACACATGGATTAATCATGCTTTTAATTTTAAAATCATTTTAGACAAATTATTTTTTAAGAAATGTTCTGTTGCATCTCTAAGAGCTTTCAGTGCTCACCAGCTTACTGTTGACACAATACCTAAGACAAACACTTTACTAAAGAGGAAAGGTTTATTTTGGTTCACAGTTTCAGAGGTTTTCAGTTCATGATTGATTGAAAGTTCTTTCAAAGGAGTTTAACCTTTCCTGTGATGGGTGGGATCTTGTTGATTCCTGAGATGCCCTCAAGTCATCTTTCTTCTTGTTCCTGTACAAAGTAGTTGGTGTCATTTTCAAGTACTAATCTTTTCAGCAGCCATACCTCATTTACTTCCATCTTTATAAGTGGTGCCCTGAGTGCCAACTCAAATTTTTCTGTTCTATCTTTTGTCCTTGATTCTCACTATAAATCTACCACTTGCTATAAAATGAATCTTAGGCTGTCTTGAAATTTCCTCCACCAGATTAATTCATCCACCACCCTTAATCTCACTCAGTCTCCTGTAAATCTTAGGACATGGGCATAATGTAGGTAAATTCTTTGCCAGAATGTAACATGTATGTTTCCAATAGAGTCTTTACTCCTATTTGAGGCTGATCAGACTTCCAATCAACTGAACGAGGGTAAGGTGGCAGGATAACAAAAGATAAGATTTTGACTGCATAAATAGGGGCTCAGGACAGTCAAACTCCTATCAAGCTAAAACACTCTCTCCTGAAGCTTACCACTACTGAACACACAGCTTCTTGATGGGACAAGGTGTGGTACAGGGAACAGTGGAGAGGAGAGCATTGATACTAGCAAGGTCCTAGCAACAAGGGAATAAGACTTCTAGTAGAAACAGATCATTGATTAATGGAAAATTTGTTTTTTCCCATAGATTAATTTCTGCCTCCATAGAAGTTTTGTGTACGAGTCATGTTACCCTTAGCTGCACTATTGTCTTACCATCCAAGACATTGTTGCTTCATAGGTCATTCAGACCTCTGCTGTAACCAGTGGCATGGAGAGTTGCTCCTTTTCCACACACCAAGGCATTGTGGGCTAATAGGCAGGCACAGACTTTTACTATGAAAAGCCAGTTTATGAATTTGTAGCTCACTCGTGGTGCTCTCCATCATACTCCCAACTGAAACTTCCTGAGTCTGGCCTTTATTTTCCCCACTTATATTAATATTCTGGTCTTCTGAGTCCCGCTAGAGTCACCCATCAAGCTTTGTTTACAGCATGCTAAGACTTCTGTGTCTCACTCCCAGGCTTCTCAAACTCATGCAGTTCCAAAGGCTTCTAAACCTCAGGTAAATGCTCAGGTATCATCACACCAATGATCCTACTTCTCTGGTACCAATCCTCCATATTAACTTTTCCATCACTGGGACAAAATATCCAACACTCACAACTTGAGGAAAGATTTTATTTAGCTCATGATTTGGGGCTTTAGTCCATGGTCAGCTCTCCCCAAGGCAGTAAAGACTTGGTGGAAGGGCTTGGTGGAGGAAAATTGCTCACCTCATGGCAGCCAATATGCAAAGGGAGGTAAACACTCCAAAGATGTACCCTCAGTGTTATGATTTGGATCTAGAGTGTCTCCCAAAAGTCTCATGTGTTCAGAGGTGGGGCTTTTAGAGGATGATTGGACTGAGGGAGTGATTCTCCCTTCTCTCTGCTCCCTGGCTATTATAATGTGGGCAGGTCTCCTCCATGACAGGCCCTTCACCATGCCATTTTTTGGAGACTGCCAACTGTGGACCAAAACTGTGAACAAAAATAAACCTCTTAAATTGTTCACATTGGGTGTCATGTCTCAGTGCTAAGGAAAGTGACTAAAACATTCAGTGACACACTTCTTCCAACCACAACCACCTTCTAACAGAACATTTAGCTCTGAATTAATCAATGGATTAACTGACAAGTATGGGACTGACGAGTATAGCACCGCATGAGCAAATAACTTTCCCAAATCCCCACCTCTGAACACATGAGACTTTGGGGGGACACTAGATGTAGACTATAGCAGTTACAAAGTTCTTAATTTCAATGAAGCCAGATTTACCTACTTTTTCTTCTATCACTTGTGGTTTTAGTGACATGTCTAATTTCCCAATTCAAGGTCATTAACATTTGTACCTGTGTTTTATTCTAGATATTTCATTGTTTTAACTTATCCATTTAAGTATTTCCTAATTTTAGTTAACTTTTTATAGGAGTAGAAGGAAAGTGTTAAAATTAATTATTTTGCATGTTAATATCCAGTTGTCCAGGACAGCTCCCCTTTCTCTACCCTCATTAGTATTTCCTACTTTGGGGGGGGGGGTTGTTGTTGTTCTTACTTTTGGGTTTTTTGATGACAGAAACCATTATTAAAAAGGCAGGAGGACATCTCATTGAGTTTATTCTCCATTTCCCTGATGATTAGTAAAACTGAACATTTTTCATTGCCAGCCATTTTTATGTCTTCTCAAGAGAAGAGTCTATTTAGATTTTGAGTCCATATTTAATTGAATTATTTGGAACATTGTTTGGTATTCAGGTTTTTTGGTTCCTTACATATGCTAAATATTAATCCCTTGTCAAATGTTTGAAAATCTCCCATTCTGTAGGTTTTTCCTTAACTCTGCTGATTTCTTTTTCTTTGCTGAAGCTTCTTGCTTTGATATACCATTTATCTGTTTATTTTTGCTGCCTGTGCCTCTGTGGTCCTATCTAAAAAATCAGCACCTATATCAGTGCTTGAAACGATTCTCTTATTTTTTCTTGTGATAATTTCATAGTTTCAGGTTTGAAATTTAGGCTTTTGATGCGCTTTTAGTTGAATTTTGTGTACACTAAGATGAAGGGATCCATTTTCATTCTTCTGTATATGCATATCCACTTTTGCCAGCACTTTATTGAAAAGACTGTCCTTCTTTTCTACTATATATTCTAAACTCTTTATCAAACATAAGTTAGCTTTATTAATGTGGACTAATGTCTGCCTTTTATATTCTCTTCCATTGGGCTATGTCTATTTGTATGTTAGAACCATACTCTTTGAGATACTATAGCTTTGTACTGTGTTTTGTAGTCAGATATGATGCATCCAGCTTCTTTTGTTTGTTTTGTCTTCTTATGTTTTGTTTTGTTTCCCTCGGGATTGCTTTGGCAGTACTTAGTCTTTTGTGGTTCCGTGTGAATTTTAGGATTTTTTTTTTCTATTTCTGCAAAGAATGCTATTAGTAGTTTGATGGGAATTGCATGGAATCTGTAAATAATTTGGGGTAGTATGATTATTTTAACAATCTTCCAATCCATGAACACAGGATATCTTTCCTTTTGTGTATACTGTCCACAATTTCTTTCAACACTATTTCATAATTTTCTTTGTAAAGATTTTTCATTTCCTTTGTTAAATTTATTGCTAAATATTTTATTTATTGTTGGTAATGTGAATAATATTACTTTCTTAATTTCTTTTTCAACAAGTTCATTACTGCTGTATAAAATGCTACTGCTTTTCCTATCTTGAGAATTTTTAACATATTGAGTGTTTTTATCAATGAATGTGTGATATCTTTCTATTAGATTAGACCTATAATTTCTCTCAAAAGTGCTTTGTATGTTTAAATGTAAATGTCATGAACTTCTTAAATGTACTCAGAGTTTATATTTTGATGCTATTGTAAATAGACTTGCTTTCTTAATTTCATTTTTTTCATTTCTGACATATAGAAATGCAACTGATTTTATATATTGATCTTGTATTCTACCATCTTGCTGAACTATTAGTTCTCATACATGGATTCTTAAGAATTTTGCATATATACTATCATGCCACTTGTGATTTTGCTTCTTCCATGACCAATCTTGTTACCTTTTATTTCTTTTCATTACCTAATTTCCTGGGCTCAAAACCCATCATGATGTTAGAGAGAAGGGTGAGTGTCTTCTTTGCTGCTTTTCTTTTTTCCTTTTTTTGGTATCAGGGATCAAACTCGGGATCTTGTACTTGCAAGGCAGGTGTGGCACCACTGAGCTAAATCCCCAGACCCTTCTTTGTTTTTCTTATACAAAGTATTTTTGTAATAAGTAAAATTACTCAAGGAAACTTATTTTTCAGGAAAAAAAACACCAAACAATAAATTCAGAGGCACTGATAGAATTAAGAAAATGATCAATATACTCCCTAAAGACATGAATCTAAGTGAAGATCATCAGTGGATTCAATTAAAAGAAAATGTGTAATGAATCAAGACAAAACCTAGATATCTGTTCACTGTTAATGATTTCAGAACAGAGACAACTTGCTGGGGATTTAGCTCAGCGGTTTGGTGGCCTGCCTTGCAAGCGCAAGGACCTGAGTTCAATCCTTGGTACCAAAAAAAAAAAAAAAAAAAAAACCAGAGACAACTAGTCAGCATATTCATCCCAGTGCAATTCAATAAAAAGTAGACAGCTCCAACTATGGAATATTGTGCCCAAAAATATGACTCTAAATCTACTTCAGCTTTTGTATATAACTACTACTTTAGAAAAAATAATGGAGATAGAGACACAGGTCAAATGACACCAGACAAAGGCAATTTGATTAAGTCCATGTGGGAAATTATAAAGGAAAAATAAAAAGGAATTATAAAGGAAAAATAGACTAAGTTTTTTCAGTTTTTCAGGTTTTTTGTTTTTGTTTTTGTTTTTTTCCTTTGGTTTTTTGAGACAGGCTGGTCTCAAACTCACAGTGATCCTCCTGCCTCAGCCTCCCGAGTGCTGGGATTACAGGCGTGCGCCACCACACCCGGCAGTTTTCCTTTTTTTTAATTGTGTAATTTTATTAATACATTTTGCAGTACATGATTACTTTTATCATGGAAGTTTGTACAACTACATAACACATCTTAATTCTTTTTTGTTCTCTTCCACTCCCAACCCATCTCCGCCCTCTAACTCTTGATTTCCTTCCCATTTGTAAAAGCTCTATTTTCATTTTTTCTTTGTCTCTCTTTTTTCAATACTTTTTCTCTTTCTTCTGTCTCCCCTCCATCTCTTGATCCCCTTCCCATTGGAAAAATATCTCTCTACTTCCTGTCCTTTATTTTCTATCCTTTATTTTGCTCTTTATTTATATTTTAGGGCTCTTGTATAAGAGAAGCCACGTGATATTTAAACTTGAGTGGCTAGTTTATTTTACTTAACATTATGATATTGAGATACATCTATTTACTACCAAATAACTCAAGTTTATCCTTCTTTATGATAGTGTGGTACTTCCTTGCGTATAAATATATTTCCTTTAGGCATTCATCTGTTGAGGGACATATAGGCTATTTCCAAGACTTAGCTATTACAAATTGTGCCATATATAGGGTTAAGGAAATCCACTGGCAGATCAAAAAGACCTGAGAGAGAGCAATCAAATGCAATAAGCAGATCATGAGGTTCAAACAAACCAACTATAAGACAGGTTTGAGGCAACCAGGAAATTTGAATATAAATCAGGTATTAGATAAAATTAAGGAGCTACTTTGAATTTTATTAGATATAATAATAATAGCATTGTTCAAAAAAACTTTTATTAGGGCACATACAGCATTGTCCCCTGGAATGCATGCTTCCTGGTCTGTGTGAGATTATGGAATTTATCATATTTTTCTGCATGTTTGACATTTTCCATGCTAAAAAGTGAAATCAAGCTTTCTCCACCATCGCTCCTCACTCATCGGTGAAGTCAATTGTATTAGTCACCATTGCTCGACTCAATACCTGACACCTGCAGTGTGGGTGCATCTGGCCTGTGGTTTCAGAAGATTCAGTCTGTGGTTGGCCGGAACATCCTGGTGGGAAGGCATGGTGAGGCAAAGCAGCTCAGTTCCTGGCAGCTGGGAAGCAGATCCAGGGAGACGTGCTGGAGAGGAAGCGGGCTGGACCATAGTACCCAAAGCCACACCTCCATAATCCACCCAGACGTGCTCAGAAGTGTATTTTACTAATCCCCTGCATGATCCTGCTCAACTGCCATGCCAGTATGCTGCTTAGGCTTCTCTGGGGAAGCAGAATGAACACACACAAGCAGAAAAGGGAATGCGCTAGTCTGCTTCTGGGATCAGAAATTGGGTAGTCTTCAGTGGCTGTCTGCACACTGAACAAGCAGGGTACCCTATAGCTAGCTAGCTGTTCTGTCCACAAAGCTGGAGGCCTCAGAAGAACAGGGACCAAGGATGCAGGCCCAGCAAGAGTCTGAAGGCTGAAGCTCTCTGGAGAGAAAGGCTGAGGAACCTGGACTCTTGCATCCACCCCTGATGGAGCCACAGAAGACAAACCTGCTCAAGCAGAATCAAGCTTGCAAGCCTTTTTGCACAGTCTGAGTTGAGTCTCCCCCTCAGTGTGCTGACCTGCATGCCCGTCATCTCTAGAAACACCCCACAGAAAAATCCGGAAGTGGATTTCCACTAATTTCCTGGGTACTCTATCCCGTCTGCGTGGAAAATCAAGGTTAACCATCAAAGGCAGAGTCGCTCCTGAGGCCCCGGATCTGCCTGCTCGCCTCCTCCTCCCTCCCTGCACGGCCTGCTCCTCCCTCTACACCCTCACAACCGTCCCTGCCAGGCATCTTCTCCTCCCGGGTACTCGCGAGTTCTCGGTTCACCTTCTCTAGGCTCTCGAGCACGTCTGCTTTGCCATGAGGGGTTTCCTCACGGACGTTGTTTAAATTTCACATCCCCATCCACCCTACCTCCTTTCTGTATTTTTCCCCTTAGCTCTCATTATTAACTCTGCATAGTTTTCTGGTGGGCCTGGTGTATTGCTGATTTCACACTCCTTGACACAAGTCCCCAAGGAGCTCCAGGTCTTTCACCAGTTCTTGTCACTGCTGTGTGCCCGGCGTTAAGGACTAGGCCTGGCACATCCGAAAACCTGCTGAACTGATTAATAGCAAAACACCAGACATAAAATTTGAGTTCGGGAAACGCTAGCTATTCCCGTCTATGACTCCTAATTACCTGATGCAGATACTTGCTAGCTTAGCCCAGAGCAAACGACTCATCTGTCAGGCTCAGCGGTCAGGCTGGTCCTGAAGGCCTTGTGCGCCCGGCTGCATCCACGGATGTGTGGGCGACAGCTCGGTCTGCACGCTTGGGGGTCCCGGAGTGCGCGGCCACCCCTCTGCCAAGGAAGCTGAGGACCAGGGAAGTGAGGCGGGGGCCTGGGCCCAGTTTGGCAGAAGGGCCTGGGGACTTACTGCCCTGCCATCTTCCTGGGGAGCGCGCGGGTTCCTCGCTCCGCGACAGGCGTGGCGTTGGAGGCGCGAGCGGATGGAGGGGCGTGGGGGACAGAGCGCTGGGCACCGACCGAACTCTGGGCCTGCGGGACGCGGAAGTGGAGACCCGCGGCCGGTGCTGCTGTGCGGACCGCCCTGCTCCCAGCCTGGCGATCTCCTCCTGGCACCTTCTATTTACCACTGCCCGTTACCGCTTATCCCAGACTGTGTGTTCAACAGCTAACCCGCTTTAAACGCGCGGCCTCCACTCGGGTAAAAGTAAGTTGGGAAGTTCGCAGGAAGAGGACACAGGGACTGGTGACGTGAGGACCCCGGGCCACGGAGCAAGTCCGCGCAGTAAGGACGCTCGGCCTCCCTCCCGCCACAGTCCCGCGCTCCTGGCGGCCGCTCACTCCTGCGCGCCTCGGCCTTTGCAGTGCAGGCTTCAGAGACAGAGGCCCGTTCTCTGGATGACCGGAGTGAGGGGTGTCCGAACAGTGACCTCGGGGCCCCCCCTCTGGACCTGGGGCTGGGCTGTGGCATTGCTGGGCAGCCTCACCTTCCCCGGGATTCCCAGAGCTCACCCATATCCTTTGTGTTTGGGGTTTTTTTGTTGTTGTTGTCGTTTTGGTTTGGTTTGGTTTTGCTTAAACCAGCTGTGTCAAATATGTCTGCACCTAAGAATCCTAAGGACTCAGTGTCATTTAAAATTGGTAAACATGAATAAAATCTAACAGAATTGCCAAGAGATTCGCTATGTCCAAAAGAATATTTCAATGGATTGATTTTAAATGTTTCGTTGAGGGAAATGTTTCACTGTGAAAAATCAGTAACTTTGAAATGCTTGATCTAACAAAATCATTATGTCTGTTTTTGTTGTTGTTTTCTAGAACTGCTTTCAGTCATTCTCCCTAACGGCCATGTCATAATATGAATAATATGCCATCGACTCACTTTACAGTGAAAGAAGAAACCATAGTGGTCGGGGTAAGGACTAAGTTTCACTGGAGTGGGCCAATGACTTGATATGGCAAGTTCCTAACACTTAAAGTCGCAGATGTTGATTGACTCTTCTATCTCAGCTACCAATGAAAGAGAATTCATAAACTGAGTCCTAGCAGCCCTGCGTCACCCCCTTGATTTCCCCTGGTTTTTGCATATCAATGAAGAGTTTGAAAGTAAATCTGAGCTTGGGGTGAAAATGAGATGATAAGATTGTGGGTTCTTGTGAAAAGAGGTCCAGATCGCAGGACTTTGGCCACCGATCATCTCACGGCCACGTGCTCTTGACACTGCTATGGTTTTCTCAGGCCGGGGGAGATTCCGAATCCTTACTCCTAGTTCTTCATCCCAACCCAACATGTAGCATGTCACATCTTTCTGTATCATAATTTAGTGAAGCAACAAGACAGATCAAAAACCAGGGCTGTAAAATAAAGTGTAGTCTGGGAAAGTGCCTGTGACAGATGGGGCCATCATCATAGGATTCAGTATTGCAGAAAGTGAAAATGTCATCAAAAGAAAACCACTGCTTAGGAATTTAGCTCAGTGGCACCGTGCCTGCCTCACGAGTGCAAGGTCCTGAGTTCAATCCCAGGTACCAAAGAAAAAAGAAAAAGAAAACCACTGCCATTAACTTGTGGAGATGGACGGGAGAATATGTCAGAGAACAGAGCTAGACTTGAGGTTTATGTATGCAAGACCAAGCAGACAAGATGAAGCAGAAGCAGCAGGGACACCAGATCACAGCTCTTCTTTCTAAGTCGCAGGCCTCCAGCTGTGTGCTGATCTGGCCCCAAAACAAGCCACGAGGGACAACGCCATGTATCTGGAAGCAGACACACCTCTACAAATTGCTAATTACTCTAGCAAATATTCCATGTATATGCTACATGTAAAAATTCAAAGCCCTTTCATTGTTCTATCTTCTTCTATCACCTGGACTCTTTCCCAGTTATAGTAATGTCTAAGGCCGAACAAGAGTAGTAGCAGAGATCACTGTGATTCCAAAACATAAAAGCTAAACTCCCCTATGACCTTCCCAGTGTTTAAGTTGTAGCTGTCCTGAAATACAATGCCCTGTGTAACTGATCCTGCCGTTCTTTTCTTACAGGCTGCTCAAATAATGGTCGGTGTGATGCACTGTACTCTAGGATACCTCTGGTTGTATTTATACATTCAACAATTTTATGCATTTTCATTAGTCTACCAGCCTATAGTCTTGCTATCGTGATACCCATTTTTGGCCTCCATATTTGTGAGTAAATTATCTTGCCAATGACCATGCATTAATGTAGTCAGCATGTTTAGTGTCTGCTTCTCCATCAGAGAATTCATTCTCGTAACTTTGAAGTATTTTAAATTGTTAAATTAATTTATAAGCTTCTGGGTACAAAAAGTCTTCAGTTGAGTGAATGTCAGGGTACAAAGAATGGTTAGAATCCCAAAAAGATTAGAGACAAGGGCGTGCTCAGCTTACTTAGAAAATCATGTTTCCCAGTATATTGGCCAGCTGAGGACCAGGACTTACTTACTGGGACCAGAAGAGGACCTTTTAAAAATAATTCAGCAAAATTAACAGAGATCAGGATGCTGTTGGCCTGGGAGAAATTCGGAAACTTCAACAGGGATTTCTAATGGATTTCTCTTGTGTCTTGCAGTAAATGTAAAATATTCCACCTCCTTCCATTCTCTTTTTTTTATAAACTGAATCTTTATTGGTACATTTTAGGTACACGGTACAGTTACACTCATCACTGGGATCTTGTACCTTTACATGACAGGTCTTGGTTCTTATTTTTCCCCACTCCCCTGCCCTCCCTTCACCCCCTCTACCCTCCCCTATTTACAAAGGCTTTGTTTCCATTTTATTCCTTTTCTTATTTTTTCTCTTCCCCTTTTACCTTTCCCCCACCCCTCCCATTTGCCCAATACCTTTACACCTCTTCTTCCTATTACAAAATATCAAGTATACATTTTGACACTTTCAGTTTATCACACCAGAGAAATTATATGTCATTTACACAGTGTGTCCAACTAATTTCACTTAAGAGAATGTCCTCAATGTGCATCCACTTAGCTATAAATGTCTCTACTTTTCTTTATGGCTGAGTAGTACTCCATTTTATTTAAAAAATCTTCTTTATCCAGTCTCCAGTTGATGGGCAATTGGGCTGTTTCCAAGTTTTAGCTATTACAAACTGTGCCACTATAAACATGGCTGAGCATATATCACTGTGGCATGATTCTTTTAATTATTTTGGGAAGATACCCAGCAGAAGAATAGCTGGGTCAAATGGGACTTCTAATCCTAGTTGTTTGAGGAATCTCCACATTGATTTCCACAGTGGTTGCACCAGTCTGCACTCCCACCAACAATGAAAAAGGATTCCTTTCTCCCCACACCCCCACCAGCATTTGTTGTTGGTTGATTTCTTGATAGCAGCCATTCTTTCTGGGGTGAGGTAGAATCTCAGTATTGTTTTCATCTGCATCTATTGAATGACCAGAGATGTGGAACATTTTTTCATATATTTATTTGCTGCTTTTACTTCTTTGTCTGAGAAATATCTGTTCATTTCAGATGACCATTTTTTAGTTGGATCTTTATATTTGGGGGGCCTGTTTTTTTTTTTTTTTTTAGTTCTTTATATATTCTAGATGGTAGACCTTTGTCTGAGGAACAAGTAGTAAAACTTTTTTTCCTCACATTGTATGTAGGTTGTTTCTTAGCTCTGTTGGTGGTTTCTCTTGCAATGCAGAAGCTTTTTAAAAAGATGAGATCCCAGTTGTTGATTCATTGTGCTAGCTCTTGTCCTACTGAAGATTTGTTCATAAAGTCTTTTCCTATGCCAATGTCTTCAAGAGTTCTACCTAGCTTATCTTCCAGCAAGTTTAGTCTTTCTGTTTTAATATTTAGATCTTTAATCCACTTCAATTTAAGTTTAGCACATGGTAAAAGATAGGAGTTTAGTTTTAAGCTTTGGCAAGTTAAAATCTAGTTTTCCAACACCATTTATTAAAGAGGCTATCTTTCCTCCAGGGAGGATAGTTGGCCCCTTTGTCAAAAATGAGGTAGCTGAGTATGTCTGAAATTGTTTCTGCATCTTCTACTCTATTTCACTGATCCTTGGGTCTGTTTCTTTGCCAGAACCATGCTGTTTTTAACACAGTGGCTTTGTAGTATACTTTCAAGTAAGGATTGTGATACCCCCTGCCATGTCTCTATTGCCGAGAATGGCTTTTGGTATTGTAGGTCTCTTCTGGTTCCAAATGAATTTTTGGATTGTTTTCTCTAGTTCTGTGAAATATGCTGTTGGGATTTCAATCAGAATTGCATTGAATCTGTATAGCAGTTTTGGAAGCATAGCCATTTTCACTACATTGGTTCTTCCTACCCAGGAACAATGGATATCTTTCCATTCTCTCTCTCTCTCTCTCTCTCTCTCTCTCTCTCTCTCTCTCTGGTACTGGAGATTGAACTTGATTCCTTGCACTTGCAAGGCAGGTGGCAAAACCACTGAGCCAAATCCCCTTTCCATTTTCTTGTATCCTCTTTGATCTATTTTTTCAGCGTGTTGTAGTTCTCAATGTAGAAGTCTTTTTCTTCCTTTGTTAGACTGATTCCTAGATATTTCATTTTTTGGATGCTATTGTAAAAGAGATTGCTCCCCTAATGAGTCTGTTATTTTTGTATAAGAAGGCTATTGATTTTTCAATGTTTACCTTGTATCCAGCTATTCTACTGAATCTGTCAATCAAGTCTAGATGTTTTTTGGGTTTTCTATGTAGAGTATCATATCATCAGCAAATAATGAAAGCTTAACTTCTTCCTTTCCTATCTTTATCCCTTTTATTTCTTTCTCTTGTCTAATTGCTGTACCTAATGTTTCTAAAACTATATTGAACAGGAGTGGTGATAGTGGACATCCTTGTCTTGTTCCTGATTTTAGCATTAAGGTTTTCAGTTTTTGACCATTTAGTATGATATTGGCTGTTGGTTTTTCATAGATAGCCTTTGTCAAGGTGAGATAAAGACCATCTATTCCAGTTTTCTGCAGGGTTTTCATCATGAATGGGTGTTGAATTTTGTCAAATGCTTTTTCTGTATCTGTAGAGATGATCTTATGATTTTTGTCTTTGACTCTGTTAATATAGTGTATTACATTTATTGATTTACATATGTTGAACCATCCTTACATTCCTGGGATAAATCCAACTTGGTCTGGCTGTATGATCTTTTTGATGACCCTCCGTATTCTGTTTGCCAGTATATTACTGAGGATTTTTGCAACTATCTTCATTAGGGAGATTGGACTGTAGTTCTCTTTTTTGGTTAGGTCTTTCCTTGGTTTGGGAAGGAAACTAACACTTGCTTCCAGGAATTAATTTGGAAGTATTGCTTCCTATCTTCTTCATTCAACTTTGGTAATTCATATGTATCTAAACATCTGTCCATTTCTTCTGTGTTTTCCATTTTATTAGAGTACAGGTTCTCAAAGTAGGCACTGATAATCCTCTGGATTTCTGCTGGATCTGTTGTGACTTTGCCTTTTTTATTCCTAATTGCATGGATTTGAGCCTTTTCTTTCATTTTTTTGATAAAGTTGGCTAAAGGTTTATCAATTTTATTTATTCTTTCAAAAAACTAACTCTTCAATTCATTGATTTTTTTTTGTATCATTCTCTTAGTCTCCATTGCATTGATTTCTGCTCTGATCTTTATAATTTCCTCTCTTGTACAAGCTTTGGGTTTGTCTTGCTCTTCTTTTTCTAGAAGCTTAAGATTCAGCATTAGGCTGTTTATTTGAGCTCGCTCTGTTTTCCTAGTGTGGGCATTCACTACTATAAATTTCCCTCGTAGAACTGCTTTCACTGAGTCACATAGATTCCTGTATGTTGTATTGGCATTATAATTTATTTGTAAAAACTGTCTAATTTCCTCTTTAATTTCCTCTGTGATCCACTGGTTGTTCAGGAGAGTGTTACTCAATTTCCATGTGTTTATGACCTTATTGAGATTTCTCTTGCTATTGACCTCGAGTTTAATTGTGCTATGGTCTGATAATATACATGGGGTAACTTCAATTCCTTTGCATTTATTTAAAAATGTCCTATGAGCTAGTATGTAGTCTATTTTGGAGAATGACCTGTGTGAAGATGAAAAGAATGTATATTCTGATTTTGTGAGGTGGAACACTTGGTAGATGTCTATTAAGTCTGTTTGTTCAAAAACTTGGTTCAGTTCTAGTATTTTGTCATTGATATTTTTGTCTAGATGACATGTCTATTTGTGACAGTGGGGTAATTAGGGCCCCCACTACAATTGTATTAGTGCTTATTTGGTTTTTCACATCCCTTAATGTTTGTTTTGTATAATTGGGGGCATTACATATATATATATATATATATACAATATATATATATATATATATATATATATATTGTATATGTATACGGTATATATACATATATGTGTAATGCCCCCAATTACCATCTCTTTCTGTTGGACTGTTCCCTTACAAGGATGTAGTGAGCTTCTTTGTCTCTCTTAATTAGTTTTTATTTAAAATTTACTTTGACTGCAAATAAGATAGCTACCCCTGCTTTTTTCCAGGTTCCTGTTGCATGGAGAACTGTTTTCCATTCTTTTACTCTCAGTCTATGAATTTCTTTGTGGATTAAGTGGGTTTCTTGTACACAGCATATTGTTAAATTGTGCTTCTTAATCCATTCTGCCAGTCAATTTCTTTTGATTGGTGAATTGAAGCCATTAACATTGATGGTTATAACTGATATGTATTGACTTATCATCATCATGTTGACTCTTTTTAATTTTTTCCCTCTCTCCTTTAATTTCTTGCCTTGCCTGCTGTATTTGCTCTGTAGGGCATCATGGAGTTTTGATCTTCATTGACTTTTTCTATGATATTATTTAGAATTGTTTGGAGTACTGGTTTGGTATTCATGAAGTCTCTCAGGTGCTCTTTGTCATGGAAGTATCTTATTTCCTTATCAATTTTGAAAGATAGTTTTGCAGTATACATCAGACTAGGTTGGAGGTTGTTTTCTAAATTTAGAGCTTGAAATACCTCACTCCAGGCTCTCCTGGACTTGAGGCTTTGTGTTTAAAAGTCTGTTGTGTTTGTGTTTAAAAGTGATTCTGATGGGCTTTCCTTTGCATGTGATTTGTTTCTTTCCTCTAACTGCTTGCAGTATTTTGTTCTTCTGTTGGGTTTCCAACAGGATCTTTATTATATGTCTAGGTGTAGATTTTTTATCATGACTAGTTGGAGTCCTATATGCCTCACTTATCCATATATCAAATTATTTTGCTCTGCTTGGGAAGTTTTCTGTCATTAATTCTGTGAACAGTTTTTTTTTTTTGTCATTTGTACTTTCTCATGCTTTTTCATGGACTCCTATCAGTCTTATATTATTCTTTATATTATCTAGTAGCTGTTGCACTGATTTCTCATGTTCCCTTACTAATTTTAAGAGATTCTTCTTTTCATGGTTACTGATCTCCATTCCGTCTTCTATATCTGATACCCTGTCTTCAGATTGGCTCAGCCTGTTATGCAAACTTTCTGTAGAGTTTTTACTCTCCTGGATATCTGTTTGAATCTTTTTCATGGATTCCATTTCTTTCCTATGTTGGATATTCATGGTGTCCATTTCTTTCCTACGCTGGGCATGCATAGCTTCTATCATGGTCCTGAGCTCATGTATTTTTATCTGTTTCTGTTCTAGAGTCTCTAATCATGTCATTCATTCTGCTCACCATCTCGGTGAGTTATCTGTAGTTATCTGTGAAATTACTTCTTTTTTTGAATTTTTCTAGACCTTCATTCATCTGTTTTGTTACTTCCTGTGCTATCAGTTCAGGGTGTCCAGGTGGTTGATTATCAGACTTTTCCACCTCATTTCCCCCAGAATTTGCCTTTGGTAAGTTGAAAGTCTGTGTTTGTGCTTGAGCCTTGTTTGAATGTCTTCCCATTTCTATTTTTGTTGTTGGTACTATCCTTCATTTGAAACCTGGGTCAATACTTCGATTTTCCTGTTATAGCTGGTCTTTAGATTTTTGAGTCTCCAATGACTCTGAGGTGATCTCTTTTTCACTAAACCAGGAAGGACAGCTGATTAGATCAATCACAACATCTTAGCCCATGATAACATCAGCAACACAAAAGCATCAAGCACAGCTTAGAAAATGACAATTCGTGGTAGTTATTAATCTATCACCTTTAACTGTGTGAATTAAATCAAAATCAAGGCTAGAGCTCAGAATAATAGCCTTTATGACCCGGCCCCCTGTGCTTCTGTGGTGTGAACCCAGGTACCAGCACAGCCAGAAGGCTAGAGGTTGGGGGTGCTGCAGCCTAGCTCCACCTCTTATCAGTCAGCTGCCGAGGTCAGAGCTGGAGTGAAAGCTCCAGGCACTTCACCCTCTTACCAGTCTGCTGACTAGGTCAAGGGCCTCCTTCCATTCTCTTGCCTACTTCTTAGTAGTAGCTATCTATCTCACAAAATTATATTAATTCATTCACTGAGCAAACATTTACTGAACACCTAAGGATCTGGCTCTGTTCTAAGTGCTTCAGTTACTATAGCCGTGAATAGAACAGGACTAAAACATGCAACCTACCAAGAATGATTCATGAAGAAACAGAAAACCTGAATGCAATAACAGAAATTAGGATATTGAATCAATAATCCAAAAAATCCCAACATGGAAAAGATGAGGATCTGATGGTTTCACTGGTTAATTCTACCAAACATATAAAGAATTCATGTCAATTTTTAATTCCCCCTTAAATAAAAAAGAAAAGTGTATATTTCTAAACTCATTTTGTGTGACAGCACTATCCTGATATCAAACCCAGAAAAGAACAATCCAAGAAAAGAAAATTACTTCAAGAAAATAACATTACAATATCCTTGGTGCACATAGATATAAAAATGCTAGCAAACCAATTTGTACAGTATATTAAAAGGATCATATGCCATGATAAAGTAGGATTCATACCAAGAATTCAAGGATGATTCAACACACAAATCTGTGTGATACATCATGTTAACATGAAGAAGGATAAAAACTGTATAATAATCTCAGTAAATGCAAAAAAACTTCAAAATTCAACACTTTCATAATTAAAGCTCAATAAACTATATATAGAAAGAATATTCCTCAATACAATAAAGGTTATATATCACAAGCCCACTGCTAGCATCATACCAACAGTAAAAAGCTCAAAACTTTTCCTCTAAGATCAAGAAAAAGACAAACAGACCCAGCCTCATCACTTTCTTTCAACATAGTATTAAAGAACCTAGCCAGAGTAATTAAGCAAGAAAAATAAATTGCAGGCATCTAAATCAGAAAGAAGAAAATTTGTCTCTGTTTGCAGATGACATGATCTTACGTATAAAAAGCCTAACAAGTCCACCAAAAAATTGCTCAAATTGTTAGAATTCAATAAATAAATTCAGTAAATTTTCAGGATATCAGTCATATTTCTATACACTAACATTGAACTATCCAAAAGTAAAATCAAGAAAACAATCCCATTTATAATAGCATCAAACACTAAACCAAGGAACTGAAAGTTAAAGGAAAAAAGTTAAAGACACAAATCAATGGGAAGACCTCCAATGTTAGCAGTTTGGAAGGATTAATATTATAAAAATATCCATACTGCCCAAAGTGATCTATAGATCTAATGCTAGCACTATCAATATTCCAATGACATTGTTCATAGAAATAGAAAAAACTTCTAAAATTTGTATGGAACCCCAAAAGACCCTGAGTAAAAAATACAATCTTAAGTTAAAAGAACAAAGCTAGGAGCACCAGACTAACTGATCTCAAAATTTAGGGGTATGCCACAAAATTCTAGGGTTCACATTAATCCAGCAACCATTTTCCTGCCTCTATTATAAAGAACCACTGCATTTATTATTAGGTAAATTTTTTCCAGTGGATACCTCAGATGTGCAATGGGAATGCTGGCATTTCAGTCAAAATTATCTCAAACTCAAACACATTTTCATAGGTGTCAAGAATGTTATTGAAGGGCTGGGGATTTAGCTCAGTGGTTCCACCACCTGCCTCCCAAGCACAAGGACCTGAGTTTGATCCCTGATACCCAAGAAAAAGAATGTTATTGAAGTTTTGACAGTAATCTGTTGAGTGACCATGAAAAGGCTGCTTATTTACACATGCCTCTTTATTCTCAGTTCATCACATCAGGAGCTTTAGCAGTAAGAGTGCAGAAGAAGCCTTCCCCTGCACTGGTAAGTAAGAATGATTAAAACCATGCCAGAGAAAGAAATTTAATTTCTCAAAGAATATCAAAAGGAGATATTGCTGCCTCTTAAAAGAAATCTCACCGAAATACAGAGGTGTGAAATTTTTCTTTATAAGATTTTTAAATGGTTATACTTGAACAGAATGTTTTAATAATTTTATAAAGCACCAAAATAATACAGAAAGCATGAAACAGACCAGCAAAACAGAAATAGAAATATAAATAAGAAATGGCATTCAGGTTAATATATCAATTGTGATAGAAACATCTCACACATTCACTTATTGAAACAGAAAGAAAAGTTATCAGAATGATAATGTTACATTTTATTGAATGGCTTCTATATGCTAAGTGCCTTATTAAACTTTTTTCACATTATCGCTCAGCAAACTTTATTAGGTAGGTAATTTATACCTATTTTATCTATAAGGAAGCTGAGAGTCCACTAGTATAAGCAAATATCCCTAGATCTAGAATTATATCTACTTTGGAAGTGATAGAGCTGACCTCTGAACGAAGAAAACGCACCTCCAGAATTCAAACACTGAGCCATTGCTCAGGGAATGTGGCAGGAAAGACAACTGTGTAGATGAAGGAGGTTGAGGTGGGAAGAATAAAGGGGAGGAGCAGGGAGGCAGTCACGAGACAGGGTCCGAGGGCTCCAGAAACCAGCAGCTCAAAGTCAAACCGCCCATCCTATTCACTGAGGTGTTTCTCACATCGCTCCTTTATCTCCCTCCTTTTCTTCTCACACTCAGCATTCCACTCTGGGGCTGCCTTCGCTCTGGCTGAGAAATTCCTCCGAGCATTTGTTTTAGCGCGAATATGCTGGCAACAAATTATCTCAGCTTTTGTTAATTTGAAAACAACCTGATATTATCTTCATTCTGAAAGATTCTTAGCTATACACAGAATACCAAGTTGGTGATTATTTTATTTTACTTTAGCCCTTTCAAAATGTTATTCCAGGCCGGGGATTTAGCTCAGTGGTGCCGCCATCTGCCTCATAAGTGCAAGGACCTGAGTTCGATCCCTGTATGAAAAATAAAAATAAATTAAAAAATAAAAAATAAAAATGTCATTCCACTGTGTTCTGACTTCCAGCCTTGACATTATAGGCTTCTGTTCTTGTTCTGCTCATTTTAGCATGTTATGACTTTTTTTCTTTTTATTATTTTCCCTTTACCTTTAGTTTTCAACAGACTTGCTGTCATATTGCTAGGTGTGATTTGCTCTATACTTATCTTACTGGAAACTTGCCAAGTAGATGTATCTGTACGGATTAAAGATCTGGGTTGGTATTTTCATCAATTTTGGAAAATTGTCAGCTATAGTCTCTTCAAATATTATTTCTGCAAGACTGTCTTTCTCTTTCTCCTTTCTTCCAAGACTAAAATCATATGTTTCTTATGTATTTTCATTGTGTCCCACATTTCCCACATTTTTTTCTTTTTCTTTTATTTCTCTCTCTTTACTTCAATTTTAACATTTCCTCTGGAACACAAATGCTGTTTGCTGCTGAGTTAAACTCAGGTAAACTGTGCTGTGAAATTCAGTCGCTGAGTTCTCCATATCAATGATTATATTTTTTAATTCTACAGTCTCCATTTGATTCTACTTTTAGATTCTAAGTTGTCTATGAAATTCTGTGTTCATCTATCTGCTCCAATGTTTTCTGTTTTTCCTTGAGCACATTAGTAATTGTTATTTTTAATTCTTATTAGTTTGAAGTCCATGAACTAGATCCCCTATGAAACTAGTTTTATTTTTCCTAGCATTTTTAATATGCCCCTGGCCTGTCTTTCAATGTGTCTAGTAGTTTTTGAGTGAGTGCCAAAGTGTTGTAAAAGGAGAGAGGAAAAAGGATTGAAGGGGGTGGTGAAGGAAAAAAAAAAGAATTAAGATATATCATGTAGAGCTACAAATTTCCTCTGACATGTGAACCTTTTGTATGGCAAAAGTAAACCAATAAAATTAATTTTAAGAGTAATAAATAAAAATACTGTGTAATCTCACTTGTGAGTGGAACCTCGTAAAAGTCAGATTCACCAAAACAGAAAGTAGATTGGCGATTCTGGGGTCGGAGGGGAGGATATGGGGAGGTAGAGGGCAGAGAGCACAAGCCTGCAGTCAGGAAGCATAAATCAAGAAATCCAAGATGCAGATTTGTACTGTATACCGAAAGTTTGCTAAGAGTGTATTTGAAGGGCTCTTACCACAAAATAGATGATTATGTCAGGTGATGGAGATGTTTATTTTATTTTATTATAGCAATTATTACAGCTTGTATAAGGATATCAGAATATATCATGTAATTTAAATATATAGAATAAAAAATAAAAGCAATATGCTCAAACTCATCAATACTCAGGGAAACGAATATCAAAACCACAGTGAAATACTGTCATACTCTCACCAGAACTGTTCATTCGTGGACAAGAATGTGAAGCAATTATCACTGGATGTTTAAATTTCCTCAACCAGCTCAGAAATGTATTCAGTGGTGTCTTCCAGAGTTGAACAAGTGCACAACCTATGACACATGATTCTACCACACATACGCCTAAGAGGAAGGCTGGCATATATCTTGTGAGAGGAAACCTTAGTTTATAGCCTCCTTTTTCATAATGGCCCAAACTACACATGACCCAATTCATTGTCTGTAAATTTCAGTATATTCTCAGAGTAGGGAATAATGCAGCAATGAAAAATGAGCAAAACTCCTCCTGCATGTAACTACAGTGATGAATTCCACACAGACGTGATTTTGAGCAAAAGCAACAAGGCACATAACACACACACTGTGTGATTCCATTTCCATGAAAGGGAAACCACACGAAGGCTTTGGAAGTCAGCGAGTAGATTCACTTGTGGAGAAAGACACAAGTAACTTTGGGGTGCAGGGGGTGCTCTCTTGACATACGCGGTGACTGCGCGAATATTTGCACTTTGAGATGATTCTCCAAGCTGTACACTCGTAATCTGTGCACTCCCTAGTAAGCACATTACACGTCGGTGTTTCTTTAATCACTTCTATGTAATCTATTATAACATATAAGTGGGCAAACACTGAAACATCTCAACAGATTCGGAAAGTGAATTGAATAAAATTCATACATATAGGTGATTTTAAAAACTACTGGCAATAGCCTTTTGCTGATAAATAATTATTTACCAGAAACTTGACAGTTCAAACTTGGAAGTGTTCATATTACAATGAGCCAGTAAGAGAGGGGTAAACTTTCACTGCTGCTAATCAACACAGGGATTTGACACCCTGGTTAATGTGACAGGGCAAGGAAATGTTATACATTTTGGAAAGGAAGGACCGAAACTTTAAAATGATATCCACAGCTTTTGTGGGGCCACACAGCAATCTACCTCTGTAGAGAAGAGTGGATTTATCCTCTATATCAATATTCATTATACTCTACTCACAGCAATTGGCACCTGGTTTTCTTCCCCACTAAGTGGCAGCACTTTTGTATTTGCCTCAACACAGGGCATCTAAGGATTTTGTGGTCATGAGAGGATGAAATGCGTGCAGGTGACCCCAGAAAGCTAATGAGTCCTCCTCGGAGGTTGGGAACCCTTAGAGGAACATTTGTTTCTGAAAAAAATCTGAAATTACAACAAATCGTTGTTAACATGCTGGTCACCAGTGCACAGTAACAGCTTCATACCAATGTGTTTGCTCTGAAATGAGGCAGTGACATTTTGTATCCTTTCCAGCTAACGTGTACCATAAGGATGAATGTCAACAGCTTAATCCTTGCAACACTCGGTCTGTTTCTAGTTGTACTGGAAGTCACATTATTTTTAGCACAGGGTGAAAGAGTTGAATGGCCACACGTGAGTACAAAGCTTTACAATACTTCTTTTCACAAATGCCAATATTTTAAACTTGTTTATAAATAAGTGGAGATTGTTTCGCTGTTAGACAAATGTGGGCATGACATGAATATGAATTAATTCATACTTGGCATGACCACAAATACTAATGCAGACAGCCAAATAGATCCCCAGACCTGTGGCTTCAAAAACCCTCAAGATGTCAAATTAAGAGTATGTCATAACACAAAAGAGCTTAGACCTAGATTATTGAGACAAGTGAAGGCTGCTGGTAAAACACACACACACACACACACACACACACGCACACACACACACACACACACACACAGAGCCAAATACAGCTAGCTCTTCAAATAAATACAGATCAAAGCTGCCGCCCACTCAGTGTGCTAGCTACAGTCTAGAGGTCAACATTACCCAAGCCCAGGAACAGTGCCTGGAATGTAACAGATGTCCAATAAGTGTTTGTTGAATGAATAAATGAATAGATTGTGTTACTTAACTATCCCTTCGATACTATTCCCACATTTGCCCATAAAATACCCCTGAGGATCAGAAACTGTGAAAGCTCTGTACACAACAAAGAGGAACCTGCAGCCTCGAATGTGCCAGAAACTCACCTTTTCTTGACAAGTGGCTAATCGTCTCATTTTAAGTGAACCATGTCTACCAGGTGTGGAAGTTGAAATAGAAGACAGATGAGCTTGTCAATCCTGGTGTCTCCAGTTTCTTAACTCATTGAAGCTCCTACATTCCAGAGAAGGGCGCCAGGCTGGCAAGATTTCACAGACCTGGTGAAATTAGGACAACAAAAGGAAGTCAAATTTTTTTCAACAAATGTAAATGATGACAGAATGTGTCTTAATTACTTTCTCATTGCCAAGACACAATACCCAGTGCCCACAATTTAAAGGAGGAAAGGTTTACTTTGGCTCATACTTTGCAGAGGTTTCAGTGTATAGTTGGCTGGCTTAAAGTTAGGGAGGCATGGCTGTGGCAGAGGAGAAACCACTCATGGCAGGGCAGCAGGAAGCAGAGATCAAGGACGGAGGAGGGAGAGACTTCCAGGCCAGGCCCCCTGGGCCCCACCTCCTCCACCAGGCTCCCCTCCCAGCACGACATTTAGCTATGGACCCATCAGGGGACGGATCCACCCTGAGCAGTATCTAATCCCCATGATCCTGTCAACTCCCCAAAGCCCACCAATGAGCGAATGAGGCTTTGGGGGAACATCCAGATGTTAACCACAACAGGACAGTTGGGCAGATGTTTGCACCCAGGATTTTTGCTGTCATAAGCATCACTGGGTTCATGTCAGGAATACACTTAGTGTTTTATGGTCCCATCTACACTAGGCCTAGTGGAGAAGGAAGGCTGGAGGGATTTCTACCTATGTGAAGGTTCTGTATTTGGAGGTTTTAAAAGTAAATAAGAACACTTTAAATATTTATTGAGCAACTAGCTAATAGGTCTCTGAGATATCACTCATATGTGCACAAACACAAAAGATAGTGAACAAAGGCTTAAAAGAAATCACAGTGCATTCAAAGCTCACCCAGCCACACTCCCTGAAATCTCATTTCTTGCACACTGTGATGGAGGTTTATTGAAAAACTGAATAACAAGGATGCTCGGCAGTATGACATGCGCATCCCTAAGCAGGATAACGACATAATAGGAACGGAAGCTTCCAAGGAGCACGTGTAGTGTGGAAAAGCCTTTAATATGAGTCTTCTAATTTTAATACCTAAAAATGTATTTCATGGCCAACATTGAAAAGTGCCACCCTGGAACTCCGTTAGTATTGTATCTGTGCACAGTGCCCTGATTTATTCCCAAATGTCAGGAGTCTGAGGCTTAGGAAATACAAGGGGTGCTCAAACGATAGTGAGTGTTTAAATCTCTTCTAATTTTATTACAATAACAGACATAGGGCTATGGATCTCCCCCAAAGTGCCGTCTTTACTTTGAACACACGTGTCCCATTACCCCACCTGTTTCTGCAGCAGCTCTGCGAGTCCCCTTAGGAAGCGCTGCGCGATCAAAAGCATGGTGAGCGCTGCCGCCGCCGAGCACCATCCCACAGAGAGCAGCCTGGGGAAAACTTGACGCTGCGTCCTCACCCACCTTACTCTCCGGGTCTGGCACTGTGACTTCTGGCTCATCCCTAAAATCAAAATGACCGTGAAAGGCTGTTTTGAATCAATTCAGGGCACTGAGGCACCCCGAACAGTGTAGGTAAAGAAACTCACAAAAGAGGACTTCAAGAAGGCAAGAATGAGGGACCAGCGTGTTCAAAGCAGGGGGAGCATTTGGAGGGGGCTTCATGGCAACGTCCTTTTCTGTAATGACTTTTTAAATTTTAACTATTCACCCATGTCTCTGTCACACGGCACGTGTTTTGTGGCCAACACAGCAACCTCCGAGGCCAAAAGCAGCCACAGTCCTTTCCTGTGGCACAGTGATTTGGAAATTGCAGGGCCAGGGCTTCTTTCCCTCCCTGGAGTCTCACATTATCCCGAAGACCAAAAATGTGGAGGAGCAGCATGAGGGAGCTGAGGACACTGCCTACGTCAGCGTCTCCTAAGCAGACCGTCCTTCCTCAGAGAGCCGGTCACCAGTCTTCCTCCATACCCCGTGTCCTAGCCTGAGACGCGAAGGCATCTGCACTGGTGTGAGGGAGTTAGAATTAAATTAGCGGATAGTGAGTTTCAGGTTCTTTAATACATCTTGCAAAGCAAGGTTTTGGAGTAGATTTGAGCATTTACTCACTCTCTAAGTCAGAATCTCAATATTTTGTACCACAAGTCATGCTTTAAAATACTTGAACTAAGCCAGGCGTGGTGGTGCATGCCTGTAATCCCAGCACTCGGGAGGCTGAGGCAGGAGAATCGCTATGAGTTCGAGACCAACCTGAGCTACATAGTGAGTTCCAGGTCAGTCTCGACTACAAAAAAACAAAAATAAATAAATAAATAAAAAACTTGAATTAGACTATTTTGGTGAAAAGTATGTCCCCAAACCAATCTTACAGAAATAACACTCTCCAAAAATAATCTGGATTTAAGGAGGATCATCACTTTCTCATTATTTCACCAGGAAAACTGGTGGTAAGATTAATCAAAAGTAATAGAAAATGACACAGAAAATCCATAAAATTATTAAATAAAAACAATGAAATTGAGGGACATTTACCCAAATTAATTCCTTGTTTTTAAATCACGGATATCAAATATTCTTACTGGCAATCATCATTCAATTTAACTGTGGTGTCCAGTGGTAATCAGAGAACGCCATTAGCGTGCAGGAGGACCTTGTCCGAGCAATGTCTACCTGGGGTCTCCAATTATCAGAACGTCGTGAGGGCCCAGGCAAGACTGAACACAACCTTTTCGATGAGCCCTGTCACTCAGTTCTTAACAACCTACCTGTCAGAGACAAATCCCTGCTCACCGTAACCCTCAGTCATGTTCGAATGAAAGATTCTCGTGAGGATCATTGCTGACAATGACCTCATGCAGAGGATGCAGACAGGTCATAAATTAAAGAATGCTTGGGCCAGGGATGTAGCTCAGTGGTTTTGTTGCCTGCCTTGCAAGCACAAGGGCCCAAGTTCGATCTCCGGTACAAAAAAAAAAAAAAAAAAAAAAAAAAAAAACATAT